CCACCCTGTATATATGTTAATAGGAAATACCTTTAATCACCCATGTATTGTTAAAAATGGTGTAAAAAAACTATTAGAAAATGGACGACAACTTTAAGTAATCAGTGTAATTGATACATTATCTTAACATTAGATGAAAAAAATATGTGACAATTTTTCCTTCTGGAAGAAGAAACCTTTTGTATATTTTTTATTAGTAAATTATTTATACTCAAACCCCGTATCAGGTTATAAGACCCCTTTCATTTACGATAATAATGAAAATATTAAAAAAAAACGTGTGCAAATATGCTGCAAATGGTTATCATTTTATTAAACGAACTAGCGACACCCTCGCTCCATTCGGGTTCGTCCGTAAGTACGTTTTGACGTTTAGTATAGATTTCTCAGAGATGAGATATTTTCCCGCAGCAAAAAGCAACCTATATGTTGACCCGGATAACCAGCTGTCATCATACCAAATTTCATCAAAACCTGTCAAGTGGTTTTCTCAAGATGCGATGCGAGACAGAGAGACAAAAATACTAAAAACCATAGATTCGGCCGCTGTATCGATATAATAATGACTTATTGACAATAATGACCATTTTAATAAAATTTTCCAAAAAGTAATGTACAGATTCGACTTAGAATTTTATTATATGTATAGATAAAATTTGAAGTTTTTTTTTCTCGTGTCTCTTTTCAGTTAACAAGATATTGACAAAATAAACTTAAATTTTAAATGTTACACGGCTTTTAAAATAAAATAGCCTAAATTATTGACATATCCATACTAATAATATAAATGTGAAAGTGTGTATGTTTGTTTGTCCTTCTTTCACGTCGAAACAGAGTGACGGATTGGCTTGATTTTTGTGGAGATAGTTGGAGGGCTGGAGAGTGACATAGGCTACTTTTTACCGCGGGATATTATCTCATTCCCATGGGAAAACACATTATAATACAACCCACAACAACTCATCATACCTATGTACATATATACATAAGATATAGTCTATCTATTCCATACTGACCGTTAAAACGTACCTAGGGACGAGCGAAGCGAAGGTGAGCCGTTAGTACAATTATATACAATTATAGAGAAAAAAATTTGAAATTTTGAAATATCGCACATATTCCATTACACCTAAGTTCCTGTGACACAAATAATAATAATAATAGATTAATAAAATAATTCTAAAACTAAGAGGTAAATATTTGAATAACCGTTACCTAAAAATAAAAAAAATATAAACAATTTTTATACATATATAATATAACTAGTTAAGTTGTCACGAATGGTTCAGTTGATATCGGATTTTTATATTATCATCAAAACAATATAAATATCATGTAAATAAAAATGGTTTCAAAACCAAATGTCCACTAACATTATAAAAATTTGGAGTAAATTTGAATGAAGGAATAATTTCTATAATTAATTTAATTAATATAAATAATTTAATTGATTCGATACTAAAAATTGTGTTTCTCATAGGATACTATATTACTTAGCAATATAATTTTAAGCGTTGTCTTTATAGGATATTTTTTTTTATTTATATATTTTCATGTAAAGTATGCGAAAACATAGGTAACAGCGAATAGCATTTGAAGGATCCACTTTTTTTATTAAAAACTCAAAGTACATTTTGAATAAAACTAGATATATTTTCGATTTTTTCGCGAATTAATTTTGATATTTGGTTCTCGACGTTTCGAATGCTTTACAGCATACATGATCACGGGAGATACCGCCAGTCAATAGGAAAGGATAAATTTTATTTAAAATATCATATATTCGCGTAAATCTAAGACAGTATCAACTAAAACTACATCAAGATTTTTGAAAATTTTATTTTGCATACTATAATTGAATTAATCATTTTCAAATAGATACACACCTTGTATTATTTCTATGCTAGAAACCCCACAACTGCGTTAAGTAAAAAAATTGGATAAAGCTAATATGACGAAAATGGGACACTAATGGTTCCTAATCGTTTTTATTTTATGATACTTAACCCTAAAATGGAATAACCAACACAGAAGCTTTTAGCTTTTAAAATTATTTTTATTACTATTAAAATATAAAAACTGTCTCCATATGACAATATTGTTTGTAATACGATATCAACTTAAATATTCGGTTATTTAAAATACTCCCAAGCATTACAATGTGTAATCTATATATGAAGTTAAAATTATTTACAATTTTAGATTTATTTTATTTTAATTTTTTGAAATTATACTTCTTTTGGGACGTTTGAAAAAAATTATGAAGATAAAATTTTTATGACGCGCGCGCACACAGACAGCCAAAAAGCGACATGATGAAGTTAGCTGCATTCCTTGTGACATACGGGATGAAATCTTTAGCTATTTTTGTTCTGTTACGCCAAAGAAGTATAACTTCTTACGTGCGTACATAAGTACATACACACCTTTTTTTATATTTTTCAGATTAATTTGTTAATAAAAAATCCATTTTATAACATACTTAAGTACGTTAATGGCCAATTGGTGCAAAAATATCTAAATTTCAAATGTAAAAGATACATAAACATCTTCTATTTTTCAATTATTTCTATTATTAAGCTTTATGTTTATTGCTTTATTTTCAGGTTAAGTCTGATGTTACTATCGATACATAAAAAACTCGCTAGATCTAGAAGATGAAGGTCAAGAGTAGGCCCATTTCTAATAAAAAAATAAAAAAAAATAAAAACCCAAGATACACAGTCAGCATCTCAAACGTGACCTCAAAAAAAGAGCGCACATCTTTTTATATATCAATACCTTTTATAGTTAAATTGATAAGTTTATTAAAATTATAAATTGTTTTAATTCCAGAATAATTGTATTTAGCATTAAATATTCATTATAATGTGCATATTGAAGGCTGATTTTTTAATCGTCAGATAAAAATAAATTATAATAAAAAATAACATAGACATATGAATAATAAACATAGCATGTATAAATAATTCAATTAACAGATTATATATAATTTAGCCGAATAAAAAATATCTGACATTTAAAAAATCACTATCAGCCATTTTCAATTTAGTTAAATATGAATGTCAAAATTACAATTTTGATATTTATTATAACATATATATTATAGTATGGACTAAATTGTAGAGTGAATGCGATAATAATGAAATTAAGTGCACCTATTTTAAATGCAAATAAAAAAAAGAAAAAAAACTGTTTCATTTGTTAAAATTAAAAAAAAAACAATACATCAATGGTCCTATAATAAGCTGCCAACTTCAACCGCTTTAAAAAAATTTAATTAGACACACCTATATCAAAATACACCAACATTAAAGGTACTGTTAAAAAAATTGAGTTGTATCATAAAACCATTCAAAATCAATACTTCGACATTCCATTAGCAGAATAAATTATATAAAAATGGCGACAATACATTGTAGCTTTTTCGTTAACTAAAATTAAACATTAATTTACATGATTGTGTTAATTTTTACATCCATTTGTATTCAGCCCTTTTTATCGCCCCACAGCTGGGCACGGGCCTTCCTTTAATACGAGGGGGATCAGGCCATAGTCCACCACGCTGGCCAAGTGCGGGCAGACTTCACATGTCTTTCGAAAACTTGTATGGTTTTCTCAGACATGCAGGTTTCCTCACGATGTTTTCCTTCACCGTAACGCAAGTGGTAATCATGTTAGAAGTTATTCGCACGTGAAAATATGAGAGGTGCGAGACCCGGGATTTGAACCCGCGTCACTCGGTTTCCCAAGCGAACGCGTTGCCACTGGGCTACCACTGCCTTAAAATTTAAAATTTATTAATTTATTTAAAAAAATATTTCAAGTAAGTTATCCATTCGGTACTTCTTAAATATTAATTAATTAATACTAACATTGTATCTCATTTCGTAAAATTTTGCTATTTATTCATATTAGAAATTGTATTTTTTTAACTTTGTATAATTATTATTATATTTTAAAGACTTTTTTATATAGGTTGGGACATTAACACACAGCACCGTCTAGTTCCATGGTAGGCTACGAGGCTTGTGTTATGAATACCAGATAGTTGATACACTACACACACACATATATAACATTAAATACATACATATTAAAAATATAAACACCCATGACTCGAGTACAGATATTCGTAGTCATCCTACAAATGAATGTCCCAGCGGGACTTGAACCCACAACCGCTGGCACAGCAAGTAGGGACACTACAAACTGAGCCGAACGTGTCGTCACTTATTACTATTTAATTAAACGTAATAAAAGTATGTCACCATCTTATAAAATATTCGCTTAATTTTAAACATAAGCGTGTCCAATCCATTAGAAGTAATAACATTCAATTAAATTATTATTGTCAAATTTTAAAGAAGAATTGAATAGATTAATTCTAAACTAGCTACGCCGTCTTTCTTCGCTCATATTACATAAAAATTATATCACTTGGTAAAAAAGCCCTTTGCTATCCTAAAAGCCCTCTCAAAATAAGTCCATCCTATTTGAAAATAATCCAGATTATTAAAAAAAATCTATGATATTTCATATGATGTTTTATGTAAAAAAAATGTACATTCACTATTTTTCTATTCTATCTATTAAAAAGAGAAGAAACTTAATACGATTAAAAGTGAAATATGTTCATGGTGTTTGTTCAACCCCAGACGCAAAAGAATGGTTTATAAGTTTAACGTATGTATGTGTGTCTGTCTGTGGCATCGTAGCGGATCGTAGCAAACGGATTAACCAGATTTTAATTTAGTCTTTTTTTTGTTTGAAAGGTGACTTTTTAAATGAACATTTTCAAACTTTTGAAGTTGGTCCCATATCAATTTAAAAAAAAATGAAATTAAAAATGGAAAATTTTATTTACATTTAAAATGACTTAAAATTCGGCTGACCCTTTTTCAAAGAATAATCATTGCAACTTACATTCAAGTCTAATTCAATAAAAGTAAAAAAAAACTATCCCATCAAGAACGTGAAGTTAGCAACTTATCCCACTAATTGTATTCCAGTTCCGAATTATCGTTGGGCGGTCGAGGGTTATTTACAACAGATTCAGGGTTAACCGAATGTATTGGGGCGGGATTCATTATTCTATTGTTCATTCTAGTAATATCTAAGACCGGCAAACGCAAAACGTAATCTTGTTCTAACCTGTCTATCCTAGGTCTTTCAGACCATGGTATGACTCTAAAGTCAGGATTCGAAGTGGTCGCTACAGGGTTAAGTCTAGGCATTCGTTGTGCTAAGCTTCTAAGTCTGGAATTTTCAGTTCTCGTCTCTGGTACGAAATTTTGCACTCTTGTGTCTGGTCTGTTTGTGAACATGTGCTGGTAACGGGTTATCTCGCAAGGGAGCAGCGGCCGCGCGTCTCTGCCTATTCTGTGTACGGTTATTTGTCGTTGGTTTTGGTTGTTGTCTATGGTCGGATGGACCAAGATGCTGTTTTGAGAGACGCGAGTAGGGGACGGGAAGTTCAGTGCTAGGAAATCTGGTAGCGGCACGCAGAATACGCCTAACTCTTCCTGTAACAAAGATGGTAAATGTTAAGTACAGAAAAAAAAACTCTCTCCTGGAAATCTAGAATGATTATACACAACAAAGGCAACATAGAATGTAATACTTTCTTAGATTTACGCGAATATTTGACATTTTAAATAAAACTATCTTTTCGGATTATTTCGCAGATTTATTTTGATTTTTGGTTCCCGACGTTTCGAATCCTTCACAGCAATCATGGTCACGGGAGAGACTGAGGTGTTAGATGTCTCAAAGGTATTATATAGTTGTTACAGGCAGCCTACCCACAATTAACAAAATGAAAATTGCACCAGTTACCTTACAATATTTTTTAACTTTAAACAATTTTATAATTTTAATTAGATGTATAATTGAATATGGAATATTATTTATTTAATTGTATATATAATAATAATATCCTCCTGATCGATTTCGACAACAGTGCGGTGGCCAATCTCACTGAGACTAGGCAACTTTGCACTCTCTATTCCTGCCACTTTCAAAGTACGATGGGACGATACTTCGACACAACCGGTGTTACTGAGAATTTCTTAACAGAAATACTTAATAACTGAACTTAGCCCAACCCGGGACTAGAACCCAGGACCTGCGGATCAGCGGCTGTATATGCTAGCCACTACACCACCGATACAGTTACAGTTATAATAAAATCTATATAAATTCTAAGTGAAATCTGTACGTAAAATATTTTTTGGAAAGTCATTATTATCAATACAGAGGCCAAATCTAATGTGTTTAGAAATTTTGTCTGTCTGTCTGTCTGTCTGGGAACGCATCACGAGAAAACCACTGGACAGATTTTGATGAAATTTGGTATAATGATACCTGGTTATTTGGTTCAACATATTATACGGTACTTTTTACTGCAAGAAAATATCTCATCTCTGAGAAATCTATACTACCTATTAAAACGTACCTAGGGTTGAACCCGAGTGTAGCGAAGGTGAGTCGGTAGTAGTATAATGACTTAAACTTACATTAGCATTAGGTGTTCTTTCCACATTTTCAGGTATATTTAAAAATGGCTTCCTCTCTATTTCACTTGAACCGTTCGTTGTTGATTTCTCTTTCTCCTCATGCAATGGCACATCAGGAACTACTTGCAAGTCTTCGGGGGGATTTGGTATTATAACATAACTTGCTATAATGCTGGATAACTGATCTAAGACCTGGAAAAGTATTATTATTTATTTATATAAATAAACACTCAATATGTGTAACTAAGTAATAAATTTAATAAGCCCTTGAAAATCAATACAGTGAAAAATAAATATATAAGTATTCGCGTCCAGGAATAGAACCTGCTACAATCTTCATAATCAAAAAAATATATATAAAAGCAGTACATACCTCGTCTGCCAGTAATCTATGCTTTGGGTCTTTAACCAATAATCTCTGAATTAGAAACACCGTGTTATCTGTTACTTGCACTGAATTGCCATCTCTGGAAAAATATATTTAAAATTTAACAATTAGTATGAAATAGATAGTCTATATCTATACATATAATAAAATTGAAACTAAGCCGAATCTGTACATTAAATATTTTGGGAAAATCTTATTGAAACAAACATTATTATCGATACAGAGGCCGAATCTATCTATAGTTTTTAGAATTTTTGTCTGTCTGTCTGTTACCGCATCACGGAAAAACCACTGGACGGATTTTGATGTTATTTGGTATGATGATAGCTGGTTATCCGGGTCAACATATAGGATACTTTTTACCGCGGGAAAATATCTCATTTCTGAGAAAAACACAAATACTGCATTGTAAGAGTAAACTAATATGTAAATACCTAAGAATTTGGTTTTCGGTCATCTGAACGCGGGCGGAGCCGCGAGGAACGCTATTATTGTATATACATAGATTTGATGAGTTGTTGTGGGTTGTATTATAACGTGTTTTCCCGTGGGAATGAGATAATCTCCCACAGTAAAAATTATACTATGTCACACTTCATACATACTACTATATATGATCTCCACACAAAAAAACACGCCAATCCGTCACTTTGTTTCGACGTGAAAGGACAAACAAAAAACAAACACACTTTCACATTCCGATTTGAAAAATTCTATAAATAGCCTGTTCATTGAGGAAGGCTATAAGGCTATATATCATCCCGGAAAAATGTACTGTTCCCATGGGATAGATTTGATTTTGACGCTAGTGTATATTATTTAATATCAGCAATAAAACATTAATTAAAAATACATATGTATTAGCATGATTATTTCTTTACATATGTTCCATGTTACCATTTAAAACTTACGGAGGTATATTATAATTGGCTGCCTGTATTCTACTAAACAATTGTGCAAGACTTGTATCACAGAAGGGAAACTGGCCATACAACATTGTGTAGAGAACCACTCCCAAAGCCCACATGTCTGATGGCTTGCCGAGATATGGCTTACACATCAAGACATCTGGTGATATATAGGCTGGAGATCCTGGAATAAAATTATAAAACATTATATGTTAATTTATGTGTAGAGTTTACCGACTACTTTTTTTTAAATATAGCTAAATAATATTGTTTCCCGAGCAAATGCTGCAACTAGATTACATCCCTATAGTTTTGAGATTTTCAAATCAAATTTCAAAAATCTTTCTTAGCTTTTACCAGCTCTGGGGCTAGTGGGAATGTATATAGGTCTTTATTAAATATCTTACCTCTTTGATCTTTCAATAAATCTCTATCACTGCCCAAATGAGTTCCAAGACAGAAGTTTGTTAAAATGACCCTTCCAGTTCTTTGATTTAGTACTATATTGCCAAGTTTTAAGTCTCTATGCACTATGTTTCTCTAAAAATAAAATATAAAAAAATATTTCTTTATTATTTTCATTGCAGACATTTTGTAAGACCTCACAGAGTAGAGTAAATGTTAGAACATATAAATATAAAACTATCTTTTCAGATTATTTTGCAGATTTATATTGAGTTTTGGTTTCCAATGCTTGGAATGTTTTACAGCAATGATGGTCACAGGAGAAGTCTCTCCCGTAAAAGATAGTTTTATTTAAAATGTCAGATATTCATGTAAATCTAAGAAAATATTATTAGACCATATAATTTTTTACTCAAAATTCAAAAATTTTAATTTTTTTACATAACAATAACATTTATTATTATTATATTAAAATACAGCCAACCGTTTTAGATAGTGATATTTGCTAGCTTGTATATAGATATGACAAAATAATGAATTTAATAATTACCTTATGCAAATTAGCCACAACTCGGACAATGTCATAAAATATTAATATAGCTTCCTTTTCTGGTACTTTTTTTACTTTAGTAACATATTGTTGCAAGTTTATAAGTTCACTGCCTTTTTCACTAAATTGATGTGCAGTCACAGAATCTAATACTAGAAACAGCCTTTGCCTAACTCGGCCTGTGTATACAAAGCCAGGACCATTCGGGTTAGGTACTTCTTCTAATGCATGATCCTGAAAATTAATATTTTCATAAAATTTGTTTGTTAATAATTATTCATAGTTAATGTAGAAATTATCACTAGCCAATTTAAATGAAAATAATAAAAATGAACTATAATTTCAACATGTATTTATAAAACTTGATTTTGTGTGATAAAATTAGTATGAAATAGTGCAAATTTATATTTGTACCTTGAATAACCCATGATGATGAATAACTCCATCTTGGTCTTTCAATAGGGACAACAATGAATACTCAGTGTGCAAAAGCATTTTCCCTTGTCGGTCATCCTGCGTTTCAGCTTGACCTTCAGTTCGAAGGGTTAAAATTTTTATTTGGTAATAGTCATCAGTCTTTTCCTTACGAGCTAAACACTGCACTATGCTTTTAACAGGACTAGGTCCTAATTTAGGTCCTAATAAATAAGGGCCAGCCTTTCGAACGTGTTTTTCTGGCACAGGAGTCCCTGGTGCTGGTACATCACTTTTGTTATAAGATATTTTACTTTTCCTACTGTTTAAACTTAATTTTTTGGAATTCTTGAGCACAGAACTCGAAGTTGAACTGGCATACGCAGCCACTCTTGCGATCTTCGGGCTCGGTTGCAGTAACAAAGGTCGAGTCCGTTTCCCATGGTTTACACTACAACTAGGCTTTTCTTGATCCATCACGTTATACTAACTTTATTAAACGTACTGTTAGCTATATTTAAAGGAGTGGATTTACTTAAAATTAGTTTTGTACACGTTAAATTCTAAACCATTATTGTTAAAGTGTACCAACGGTACAAAACTGAAATGAACTTCTTTTATTTACTTCGACAGATGTCCACTAATTTTTGTACTATCCATAGTGCTAACTTGTTACAATATTTGTTCTGGTAATATCGATTTTTTGGAAGTTTCGATATTCGATGACATTTACAGTTTACAATTTACGGAATATACGGAAAATAATAATTGAAAAATACCACCTATTCCTGACCTAGTTTAATATTTTACATTAAAATAATGCTTCTAATATTAATTGAAATACTTTTTTATATATATAACGCAAAAAAAATGAAGTTCAAGCAAATAATTAAAATTTTAAATTTAGATTTTATTATTATTTACTTATTGATAGCATATTTATTGTTATTCATTAATGGTTTAAACATTTAACTATTTAAAGTTAAATGGTAAAAAAGAACTAATTTGTTAATATAGATATTTAGGTGCCACATCCCTAATCCCTATTTTTAAAATTGCGCAGATTAAATAGCTTGACCACAGATTGTAATTTTTATGATTTCATTAGAATTTCTACAATGCTTTTAATAATTTATAATCACGATAAATAAACAAATTTTTTTTTTCTAACATTTCAATTCATTAAATTGGTTATAATAAATTCATTAAAACTGTAATTTTGCTGTTTATCTTCCATTATTTATTGTATTTATAAATGTGACGAGATAGTAACTTTTCTTGTGCAACACTAATCTATGATTAACAATTTTGACACATATTTTTAACCATGTTTTTGAGGAGACCTATGTAGTTCCCGACAATTTATTGTGACCATAGATGAATATTTGTGACATAATAACACATCTAACTGGAACATAATTAAAAAAAATAGCTGCTGTAAATAATATACATAGTGTAACAGCATGTGGAAAGGACTTAGATTAACGCAATCACAGTTAGCTAAACTTCATTTCAATGGACATAAACTGCAGCCAGTCGGAGTTCCTGCTCTAGATTCTGTATTGAATCAATGGTATGAATTTTGTAAGAAACCTCCTAAAGGGTTCGAAAAATATTTTCAACCTGGAGGTAGTCCAAAACAGACGAAAAAGCCTGAATCAGATGCATCACCACCTCCTTCAAAGAGTTCACCGCCACCGCCGAAACCGAGTTCGCCGCAAGACAAATGGAATATGAATATGTTCTCAAGCTCTGCTGGAGGTGGCAGAGGAACAGGCCGCGGTGGATATGAAGGTCAAGATAAAGAAAAATGGATGATGTTCGGTGCTTTAGGTGTCGTAACTTTATTAGCCTCAATAGCCTACTTCGAACTAAGATATAGAGAAATAAGTTGGCGAGATTTTGTCAATTTATATCTTAACAAGGGTCTTGTTGAAAAACTAGAAGTTATAAATAAAAAATGGGTTAGAGTGAGATTACAGGGCTCTGCTATTGAAGGAAAGATAATATGGTTTGCTATTGGCAGTGTTGATTCATTTGAAAGAAATTTAGAAAATGCACAAATTGAAATAAATGTGGACCCACCTAATTTTGTTCCAGTCATTTATAAGACTGAGGTAGAAGCTGCTAGCTTGACAGGGATGTTGCCAACCTTATTAATAATTGGATTTTTAATTTATATGATGAGAAGATCTGCAGATATGATGGGAAGGGGTGGTCGTAAAGGAGGTGGTATTTTTGGTGGGGTTATGGAGTCTACCGCAAAACTGATAAACCCAACAGATATAGGTGTGAAATTCCAAGATGTTGCTGGTTGTGAAGAAGCTAAAATTGAGATTATGGAGTTTGTGAACTTTTTGAAAAACCCACAACAGTATATTGATTTAGGAGCTAAAATTCCTAAAGGAGCCTTATTAACTGGACCACCTGGTACCGGTAAGACTCTCCTGGCCAAGGCTACAGCTGGAGAAGCAAATGTTCCTTTCCTTACAGTGTCAGGATCTGAGTTTTTGGAAATGTTTGTTGGTGTAGGTCCATCTAGAGTTAGAGATATGTTTTCTATGGCTCGTAAGCATGCACCTTGTATACTATTTATTGACGAAATAGATGCTGTTGGAAGAAAGAGGGGAGGTCGAAGTTTTGGAGGGCATTCAGAACAGGAAAATACTCTCAATCAACTTCTAGTTGAAATGGATGGGTTTAATACAACAACTAATGTTGTAGTACTGGCCGCTACTAACAGAGTAGATATTTTAGATAAAGCCTTATTAAGACCTGGTAGATTTGATAGGCAAATATTTGTACCAGCCCCAGACATCAAAGGAAGAGCTTCCATTTTCAAAGTTCATTTAGCCCCACTGAAGACCACAATAAACAAGGAGAACTTGGCACGTAAAATGGCTGCATTAACTCCAGGTTTGTGATTTATTATTTAAGAACGAATTTATAGTAAAATGAAAACTGCTTGCCAGATTTTCATAGGATTTCCTTTATTGTACAGGTAATAGGCTGTATTAAAACTAAGTAAGTTTCATATTTTTGACCTAAACTTAGAGCTACATTACTCCTTGCTATGCAACCATATTATATTGCATGAATTAATTATGAATGGAGGTTGCAAAAAAATTCAAGTTCATACAAATAAACCCAAAGGCAGATTCCAAAATTAAAAATATTTAATGTTTATGTTGTTCTTACATTAGTCTAGATTGTAGCAAAAGTTTATTTATGTATAAAAATATATTATATAATACATGTTTATAAATATATTCACCCGCCACCTCATTTTTACATATAAAAAATACACTATTTAAAATAATTACACTTTTTAAAATCAAAATAATTATGTCTATTTTCAGGTTTCACTGGTGCAGACATAGCTAATGTATGTAATGAGGCTGCACTCATCGCCGCTCGTGAACTAGCCAATGATATTACAATGAAAAACTTTGAACAAGCTATAGAAAGAGTAGTGGCTGGAATGGAAAAGAAATCCAATGTTCTCCAACCAGATGAAAGGAAGATTGTGGCTTATCATGAAGCAGGGCATGCTGTTGCAGGCTGGTTCTTACAACACGCAGACCCTTTGCTAAAGGTCTCAATCATACCAAGAGGCAAAGGCCTAGGTTATGCCCAGTATCTTCCCAAAGAACAGTATTTGTACAGTAAAGAACAGCTCTTTGATAGAATGTGTATGACACTTGGTGGAAGAGTCAGTGAAGAAATCTTTTTCGGAAGAATCACTACGGGAGCTCAAGATGACTTGAAAAAGATTACCCAAAGTGCCTACGCCCAAATCGTACATTACGGTATGAATGCTAAAGTTGGTAATGTTTCATTTGAAATGCCCCAACCCGGTGAAATGGTAATAGACAAACCTTATTCGGAAAAAACCGCTGAATTAATCGACTCTGAAGTTAGAGAACTAATCAACACAGCACACAAACATACTACGGAGTTGTTGACGAAACACAAGTCGAACATCGAGAAAGTCGCGGAAAGACTTTTGAAGCAAGAAATTTTGAGCAGAGATGACATGATCGAACTTTTAGGTCCTAGACCATTCCCAGAAAAGAGTACTTATGAAGAATTTGTTGAGGGAACTGGATCATTTGAGGAAGATACTACTCTACCAGAAGGTTTAAAAGATTGGAACAAAGAGAAGCAACCTTCCACCCCTCCTCCAGAGAGCATACCATCAGGATCTAGCCCCACTAAAAATTAAGTAATTTTACATGTAATTTTTTGAGTTTTTAGTCAGTTTATGTGAAATAAATAGATTACCTCCTAAGTCTTAAAAGGTTTTTTTTTTAATTTTTACGATATTTGGAATAGGATTTAATAAAGTCTAAAAAGAAATAATAATAACTTGGCAACCATTAAAATTTAATTAACCAGATAATCTGGAATCAATTGCAAACAATAAAATTCAATACATAATTTATTGCATTTCTTTGATAAATAATCGCTTTAAATATGTAACGCACTTTATAAAATAAATAATTTCTGTTAAACGGTAGTTTTTGTTCCGCATGACGAGGAGGATTTAAATAATTTACTACAATTTCAAGTACCCAATATATTTAATTGGCCACTGGCTGAAATCAAAAATTTTTACATTTACCTCCCCTCAAGTACTGTCAGTTAGGACGAGCACCTGCGCGCTACGACCGTTATCTCAAGCGCGTATCGAACGCGCTCTATATGAGGGTATTGCGATAGTGCTAGCCCTGTACATAAAAGGAACAACTTCAACAAAAAGAAAAACAGGGTTATATTAAAATTATAATATGAAAATATTCAAATATCGGCTGAACATAAATCCAGCCTTCTTTCTGTTTATTTAAATATTCACTACATTACTTTATACATCACCAATTTCTTAAGTAAATTCAGTTTTTTGTACAATATAAAAAGAATCTTATATTAACTCTATGTTTACACGCGAGATGTATACAACACGCCCGCATTCTCATTAAACTTGATCTAACCGAGCGAACGAGAAATAAGAAAATTTAACAAAAATAATTAAAATTATGGTAATTAATACATGTACCTATACTATTTTATGTTCAACATTTTATGTCAATATTCAATTATTATCTATACTTAATTCTAGCCTATGATAACATTATAAATGATGAAAACGTATCAGCATGATATCATTCAACAATATTACATTAACAATATTTGCAATCCATTCACTCACTTCTAACGAACGGAAAAATTAAAACTAATCTCAGTAACAGCAAAAAGTCCGACAGTCAATGACAGTCTCTGATTTTTTCTCCTTTCGGTTTCCGGCCGCGCTTTTTGCCGGATGTGACGCCGGCGAGGACCATGGCGGCGCGTTTAGCACGACACGATTTGCAGAACCAATCTTCCGTTGCACCCGGTTCTTCCGTTATTCCGACACATATCCAATGGTACCAACCGTCGCATCCGTCACAACCTATCATAGGGGAGCCGTTATCAGGTTGGCCACACGCTGGGCAAACCCAAATCTTATTACCATGCTCGTCTAGATAGAAAGGAGTTGGTAAAGGCCCTGTAGGTTTTTCTACGGGCGTAGTTGCAGGTGTGGGAGCAGATGTCGGTGGATCTTCTGAAATGGATGCAACATCTTCTTCGTAGCTTTCACCTTGACCTTTCTTAGCTATAGGCTTGATAAGTATTCTCCTGTATTTGTTGGAAGATGGAGGACGATTTTTCCGAGAGGGTGAACCAGGCGGAGATGACACCTGCGCTTCCGATTCTGCTGTGTGATTATGCTTAGAGTGCTTTTGTTTGGCGGGCGGTCTCGTTACTAATGCTGATATTTGCGCTAACTCTGGAGACCTACTGTGTTCACGAGATACGGGTTCATCTTTAACGGGCGAAGAATCGTCTTCTTCTTTTTTTACAACAGGCTTTATATTTAACTTAAATATATCAGGGGAACTCGGCGGCATTGGCGAATTCGAGTTGGAAGAACCTATTTTTAGCGTCAGCTTAGGTACCAAGCCATCTGCTGATTTTTCTTTCTTTTTCTCTTTCTTTTCCTTTTTTATTCTATCTTTGATTTCTTGTTTCTCGTCTTTTTCTTTTTTCTTCTCTGACTTGTCCTTATTTTTATCCTTCTTATCTTTTTTCTTTTTCATTTTTAGTCCATCTTTATCTCTTTTCTCTTTTTTATGTGACTTATCTTTTTTCTTTTCTAAATTATCTATTTCCTTGGTTTGGGAAATGTCTGGAGGATTAACTTTATGTAACTCTGGTTCCCTAACGGGAACAGGTTCAGGGATTGGAGTAGGTGGTTTTGGTTCTGGCGAAGGTAGTCTGGGTGGTGGTGGAGGCTCTCTTGGTGGTTCAGATCGAACAGGTTCAACTTTAGGTGGATTTAATTCAATTGTGATATCAGGCTGTACAGGGGGCATTTTATATATACTTGACTTATGATCCTTACTAGATTTTGATTTCTGTTTCTGTAAAATATTTGGAATGGTTGGAGATTTGTGCTTATCGTGACGGTCTTTTTCGCGACCCGTCATAGGTGACTTACGCATTAATCTTTCCTCTTCATTTTCTACAGGTATGACTTCCAGACTAGGACGACGGAGCATGGGTGGTATTTTCACAGATGACCGAGATGAATGAGGGAAGTTGCCCATTTGCATAAGATGGTTCGGTATACCTGGACCAAGACCACCAGGTAGAAAACTAGGTCCTGGTATAAGTGGAGAGCCACCGCTCATCGCAAAGGGATTACCAATCATATTTGGTTGTAAACCTCTTAAAGCTGGATTATTGGCTAAACCAGCAAGAAAATCACCACCAGGTATCAATCCAGGATTTGGTATTAAGCCTGGTCCTGGCATTAAACCTCGTCCCGGTGGCATAGTATGGAAAAATGGGAATCCAGGTGGCATTTGTGACAGTTTTGATTCATTCTTTGGCCTACTTGATTTTGGCGTCTTTTCGTTTGGTAGTTTCATTTTCTTTTTCTCTGCCATTTGCACCATTTCAAATGCTAACTGTTGTTGTTGTTTCTTTAACTTTGCTTCTAATTTTGCCGCCTTATCTTTTTTATCTTTATGCTTCTTTTCTTTCTTCATTTTAGGACTGACACTAGGTACTTCTTTGGGAAATGGTATTTGCAGTGTCTTGTTGATAGACAATTCACTAGGTCTATGTTCTAGAGGTAGTGCTCTTGATTGTGGAGCTGGTTGTGCCTCCAATGAGTCATCATCAATATTAATAACTTCATGAGATCTTATATCTATTTCTCTTGACAAATCTACAGGACTATTATTATTGTTCATCAGGGATTCTTCACTTTTTACTCTAATGGGTTCACTTTCATGTGAATTTTGCAATCTTGAGATCATAGTGTCAGATAGTGTTTGTATTTTTTCGGGAACAACCTCTGGAGCATTCTTATCTTCTTTAGATTTGTTCGATATTCTCTTAAATATATTAACTTTTGATCTATCTGGCTGTGAAGCCAACTTTTCTTCTTCACCAATTATTTCCTTTTTAATTTCAATGTCTGGAATTAGTGAAATTGTAGTATGATGTTTATTAACAGGTATAGAATTAGAAACAAGTGGTGATTTTGAGATAGGTATTTTCCTTGGAACCGGGATAGCTTCCTCTCCAGGTATTAATGAACTGCGAGGAGTTATAGGTGGATCGACTGGTTCTTGTTTTATTACAGGTCTTATAGGCTCCAAGGCCGCTGGACCTGGAACTGGTACGTGTGGAGGAGGCATGGTAGGCTTCGGAGGCAGTGTAGGCCTCGGCGCTGGCATAGTTACATGATTGTGATGAGTAGGATGCACATCTTTACTTTTCATAGGATACCCTGGTGGATACCTGTCTAATTTATTACTATCCCTAGATTTACTACTTTCACCTTTATGACTTTTATCTTTCCGTTTACTTTTCATAATTTTACCATTCAATAATTTATTCTTTTTAGATTTCTTATCTTTGTCTAGCATTGGTACTTTCACTGCATTAGAGTGGTGCGAATTGACTTTATGTTTCTCATGATGTTTTTCAGTAATAATTGTGGGTGGTTTGGCTTCGGGAAGCTTACCTTCCCTTGCAGGTGACAGAAACCCAGACATAGTCATCATGACACTACTAATTTCTCTAGTTCGTTCTTCCTCATCCAATCGTAACCTTGGCCTTTTACTATTTGGTAATGAAACTGGATCAATGGGTCTTTTAAATATGTCCTTAGGTTTTTCTGGGCTGTCTGTAACTGATATTTCAGGACTTGTACATGTTGCATTACTGTCAATGTTATCAATACCATTTTGACGAATTTCAACTGTGCCTGCAACAACTGGTGTATCCCGTTCTTTTTCAGGATACATAGGGGGAAGATGTTCATGTACATGCATAGGTCTTGTAACAACCTCATGACTGCCTGGTTTAAGAAAGTTCAAATTAGATTCCTTTGGTTTTGGAAACTTTTCTGTTATGACAGGCGGCGGAACAGGAGGAACACAACGAGTATAATCTGCTAATTCTGGTAATTGAATATGAAGGTCACGAAACACTAATCCTAAGTCATGTAAATTTGGTTCAGTCCTATTGAATTGTTCAGCATATCTATTAGCTTGTGTGCCCAATGTACATATGTATTTCTCCAAAACATGTACTAGAATATCAAGTGGCGTAGAGTTTATACCATTCCATCCTATAGTTTGGCATATTTGCGCAACATTCCTTCGTAGTATCTCACGGGCGTACGCCTCTGACATTATGACACCAACAAAGTTATCTGGAACAAATGAATATTATAGTGTTATTACGACTAAACAATGTTCAAATAAAGTATGTGGAATTCGCTGACCACAACATATAGGTTTACTTTTAAACCTGATATCTTTACATACGATAGAATAGCTAAAACAGCAAATCTCATGATTTTCATACCTGCAAGTGTCTAGTAGCACAGAGACGATATCGCAAACAGGTGGAAACTCCAAGTTTAGAACACACATGTATGCTTCGCTATTATCCTTATAAATCACGGATAATTTATCATAATATATTCAAAGATTACAATGCAATATAATGAAGTGTTTACGTAAAAACTTCTCAGCATTCTACAAACACAGTGCCCCGTGCGCCATGATTGCATTTTGGGTTGTCAATGTTCTGTGTTGCAAGGCAATAATAAATAAAATGGCGGTCTTATATGGATGCGTTCAATTATATAAATATTATGTTTAAAAAAAAAGATCGGATGCACTAACGAAGATATGTAATGAAGTTTTTTCCAAAATACTCCTTTAATTTAGTGAATAATTCAAATATGCAATGATAAATATAGACTTTTATTTGATTTAATAATAAATTTAAAACACTATTTAGTTTGCGTTATTAGAATAAGATATGAATGTATACTTTAAATGTGTACGTACGTAAAAAAAGTTGGTGAGTTGATCTACTCTAATATTATTATAAAGAGGGGTTTTTTTTATTACATTTGTTTGAATCGAATAGGCTCTGAAGCTACTGAACTGATTTAGATCAAATTTGGTAAGAAGATAGTTTTTATCCCGGAAATCATCCCTTGAAGGGGCGAAAATGGGGGTGAAAGGTTTGTATGGGGAAGCAACTTAGGGACGAACCCGTTACCCGAGCGAAGCGAGGGTGATTCGCTAATGTAGTTATATAAGGTAACTTTTAATGAATTATGTACATTAATATTATGTTGAATTGTTTACATATGGAATATACTTATTTAATATATTAAAGCATAGCTGTTTTCTCTAAACTAATTTTCAATAACAAAATTGACTTAGAGAAATCTGATGGTGGCGGTGCGAGATTAATTACAGGTTACAGGACACAGATTAATATGGAACCTATTTATTTATTTTTATTATCTAGGATAAGATAAATATTATAATGTATAAATATGTTATTTGCTTTTTAGAATATAATATTATAAACAAAATGGTTAGATTATTGCTTTTTTTATACTATCATAAAAATATTTTTTTCTATAGCCACACTGCACTTCTCATATAAGTTATAAGCTATAACCGATGTGACACTACCTATGTCAAACAAAACCGCAAATGGTTTTCTGACGATGTGCTTTTAGTAGATGAAATGTCGTTAATTATTTATCACTTTTATACTTGAAAAATGGTTATTGTAGTGTGATACTTCTTGTAATAACTAAAATTTTCACGAGAAAGCAAATAGTGATGATAACGCATGATTTCAATGAATATAAAGAGTTTGTCCTATAGCTGAACAGGACTTGAAACATTTCCTAGTGATATTGAAAAGTTTTAGTGGGAATATTTTAAAGTACCACAAAAATGACTACATCATCTGAAGATGTTTTGCTAAGCGTGGGCCATGTCAGGTATAAAAAGGGTGATGGAACCCTCTATGTAATGAACCAAAGACTGGCTTGGATGATGGAAAATAGAGACACAGTGGCTGTATCACATAAATATGCAGATATTAAAAGTAAGTTATTTTACATTACTAATTAAGAGAAGCATTTTACTTACATAATTAAATACTATATTTCCAAAATTAATAACTATAATAACAAAAACAGTTGTAAGTACCTGGCAAAATTTTAAACAAAACATTAGACTGTATTTTTTGTACACTTACTAGTAAATTATTATAAAATATAATTTCTATTGCAAAAATTTGATTTATTGGTTATTACATAATTGATTTCTTTGTATAGTTATTATATAAATAATTTGAATTTATATTGTATTTTCAGCTCAAAAAATCTCACCAGCTGGTAAACCAAAAGTACAGTTACAAGTAGTTTTACATGATGGGACTTGTTCAACATTTCATTTTGTAAATCCTTCTGGTCCAGAGGCCCAAGCAAAAGATAGAGATCAAGTTAAAATGTTACTACAAAATTTATTGCCAAAGTTTAAGAGACAGATTGATGGAGAATTAGAGATGAAATCTAGGTATTATTTAAAAAAATTATACACTTGCAACTCACCCTTGCTTGTATTTATCCATAGGAAAAACACTAACAAATTAACCCACGGGAACTTTACATTTTTCCAAGATATAAAGTAACCTATGTGCTATTCCAGACTAATATCTATCTTTGTGCCTAATTTCATCCAGATCCGTTCAGCCATTCTTGATTGAGTGATTGAGTAACAAACATCCATTCAAACTTTGCATTTATAAGTGATTAATAAGATATAAATTTTATTTTAAATGGAATTATTCACATATAAGTATTTATAATAATACCAATGTTAATTTTTTTCTGTGTGTGTCCTCATTTTATATGTTATGATTAAAGTATTTTTCTCATCTCAAGGTTGTTATGCCGCTGGGATTACTAAATATTTTTATAAAAAAACCTTAATTAACAACTGGTTTTTAAAAGATATGTTCATATCTGTTTACATAAAAAATACCTAAAATTAAAAAGTATATTTACATACACATATACTTATGTATTGCATATACATACATCACAATATCTTATTTGTTGATTTGCTACATTTTACATGTAGTTTCTTAGTAAAGCTAATACATATTTATATACATATAAAACTGTTTTAAAACTGACTTTTTTGTATATTATTATTTTCTAATATTAACAAATGGTTTTCTAATACATTTTAGTCTAAAATATTTTTATATTCCTACTTAACTACATGGAATAATAAAATAATATTGGTTTATAAATGAAAACATCAGATCATTTTATTTATACATGTTCTAATATAAATAAAATGGACATGGTATTTTTCAGATTATTATCTCTTCATCCTACATTAAAGCATTTATATGAAGACTTAGTTATATCAAAAGTAATAAATAGTGAGGAATACTGGAACACACCCACCTTAAAACATTATACAGAATCAACCAATATGAAACAGGAAGCTGGTAAGAATCCTCTAATATTATTGATCTAGCATTTGAACAAGGTATTTACAGTAATGTTAAATTACATTTATTTAAAAAATGTTTTTTATTGAAAAGAATTATTGATGTGAAACATCTAATGTTGGGGGCTAAACTCGTTCGGAACTCTCAGACTCATTCCCACTCGGCTCGGTGATTTCCTCCTCCGTCTATCTCACCTCTTTGAGCTCGTATTTTAATTTTGTTATTAAATTAAGATGTATTTATTAAATAAAGGAGAGGTATATTTTATACCAGTACTTATGATAGAAAGAAATAGTATACTGTATAAATGGAAATGTATATTGTTTTTTTTCATTATAAAAATTACCTTATCCTGTTTGTTATAAGGATTAATCTTGTACAACAATAATTTTTATGGGCAATTTTTTGATGTATAGGAGTATCTGGAGCATTCTTAGCGGATATCCAACCTCAAACAGACGGGTGTAATGGTCTAAAGTACAATCTAACACAAGATATAATAGACGCGATATTCAAAACATATCCAGCCGTTAGAAAGAAACACATAGACTATGTTCCTAATAAAATGACAGAGGCAGAGTTTTGGACCAAATTTTTTCAGTCACATTATTTTCACAGGTATGGAATGACTTTATCAGCTGGAAGATCATTTTGTTTTTAATTTTCATACTTTTATTTGAAAAATAATAAGTTTTCTAGGTAAACTTTCTGTATATTATTGAAATTAAAAAAAGACGAATCTTTCTGTGAAATAAATTATGTTTCACTATCAACAACAACAACAACAACAAAAACAAATCTATCCCACGGGAATTTGTTTTTGGAATAAACATTATTCTATGTGCTATTTCAGACTATAATCTATCTCTGTGCCAAATTTCATCCAGATCCGTTCAGCCGTTCTGGCGTGATTGAGTAATAAAAATACTTCCATCCAAATTTTTGCATATTTAATATTTATTTATGGGATTTAACAATAGCATAAAAATTATCTTACATAAATATTTATATTATGTACTTATTATCATTTGAGTAGAATGACGCACATTTTCGCGAACATTGCCGTGGCCTCCATAGCTCAGGGGTTAGAGCACTGGTCTTGTAAACCAGGGGTCGAGAGTTCAAATCTCTCTGGGGGCAATCAATAAATCTTTTTTTTAATTTTATTTCTTTATTGTTTTTTTATTTTTTGTTATATTAAATGTGATTTTGTTTTGGTTTAAATTAATTTTTTTTTTTTATTTTGAGGTTTACATAAAGAAGTAACATTTAAAATGTAATTCTGTTCATTTTGTTTTGTTAAATATTATTTTTTATTAAATTTATAATTTATTTACAAAAATAAACCTAATTTACGAAAACATAAGGCATTATTTTCAATAAGACTTATGCCCGATTTCACCAACAACCCATAAGCTACCACCTACGTATGGGATCCCTAGCTTAAAATTCCTCTAAACTAGCTCCTAAACTAAATTTCGTTTTACCATCGTCTTTAAGCCCGTATTCGAAATACCACCTAAATTTAGGGGGCCTTTTAATATTTAGGTGACCCCTAACTGTCGGTGAAACAGAAACTGTCCCCTAACAGCCCCCTAACCATGCTTAGGGGATCCCTTAAACTTAGGTGACGTTGGTCAATTCGGGCATTAGTTTTCTTTTAGCTGCTAGAATATGATTGCTTTTTATGGGTAGAATATATTGTAATATAAATTCAACAGATAAAATATAATAATAATAAAAATATTAATTTAATTTTTAATGTTTTTTTTAGAGATCGTATAGCGTCCTCATCTAGTAAAGACTTATTTGGGGAGTGCGCCAAAATGGACGACCAAGCAATCGCATCGGCAATGAAACACACTACATTAGATTTAACGGTATGTTTGTTCTTTTTTTTTAATACCATTATGTCTAAAGACATATAGAAATGGGTACTCAGAATATATGTATATTTATGATGATGTCATTTTGTATCAAGTGTGTCATTATGGCGTTATTGTTTAAATACATTCATTGTTTGTCTTTGCAATTTAGTAAAAAAAAAGTAATTTTTATTAACCGACTTCAGAAAAGGAAGTTCTCAATTCGTCGGAATACTTTATTTTTTATGTATGTTCCCCAATTACTCGAAGACGCCTGGACCGATTTGGAAAATTCTTTTTTTTGTTTTAAAGTGTATACTTCCCAGGTGGGCTCATGGTCATCAGGTCAGGATCTGATGATGGGATCCTGGGGAAATCGAGGGAACTCTTCAAATTTTATAGGCACACTGAAGCGATTTGGGTATTTTTTTATAGTGACTTGAGTATTTGCTTTTAAAATATTCTCTTTTTACTTTCTACTACTACGTCTACACTAAAAATGGAAAAATAAAAACTAAAAAATAAATAAAATAAAACCAACTTCAAGGTACTAAAAAGTAAAAAATAACTAAATGGGCGTTTTCATTAACTTTAGATAGATATCTAATCTGATATTTTTTGATTAAACACTATTTATCTCGCCCTGTAGAGAAAATTTTTAGTCATTTTAACTCAAATAATCAATCTGCTTTAATAGTAATGGATAAAATCGATACTAATATTATAAACGCGAGAGAAACTGTCTGTCACTGTTACCTTTCAAGCTTGATCCGCTGAACCTAAATCTAGATGAATTTTGATATGGAAATAGTTTGAGGCCCTGTAAAGGATATAGGATAGTTTTTTTATCCCGGAAATCATCCCTTAAGGGGTTGGATATTTTTTTATTTTTTAAAGTACTTACCTAATTTTGTATACCTATGTATATACTTGTATATAGAAGTTTAGTATTCCATACTAATCATTAAAACGTACCTAGGGACGAACCCGAACCCGAAAACATAGCGAGGGTGAATCGCTTGTATATAATAATCTTTCAACAGGTCGATTTACCACAATTCACGGAATCTGTCCCTCTCTTACCTGATGAAGATTCTCACGAGAAGGAAAAGGACGGAACATCAATCCACCGCAGTATGATAAAAAGGTTCAACCAACACTCCATTATGGTAATTGTCATACAGTTAAATACAAATAATTGGAATTTGCGAGCCAATAGTGTCCATAACATCTTTTTAAGCTAATACTAATGAATTTTTTTAGTATCTAATGTTTGATGATAGTTGAATAGAAATTATGTATTCTATTTGACATATAGACATAGATAATGGACTGAGTATTTCTTTGCCAGTCGTAAACTAGAAATGGCGGAAAGGCGCTACAGAGGTAAAACGAATGTGCGGCCAGAAGTCTTCTGTATTAATTGAAATACGTTTAATGATGATAGATATAAATTATAACCATTATTTTTCTATCAATTTTTTTTACATTCTATTTATAAATTCAAATTGGAATAAAACATAGGTATCGGCCGCACGTTCGCTTTCTCTCTTTCTAGTGATCAATTTCGTGAGAGTATTGCTCAAGCCGTTCTCTACGTCTATGATTTGATATAGGGCATAATATGTATATCTGTATAAATATTATAAATGTGAAAGTTTGTGAGTTAGTTATGTTTTGGAGGCAGCCAGAGGATGCAAAGAAATGCAATTTAATTAAAAATTAATTTATTAACTAGAAGTTTTTACTACTAAAATGACTGTCGATCGATGTTAGATCAAATCAGTGAAGATGCAGCCAAGTAATGCCTTTTATACTACATGATTGTAGGAAGTTGAGACATCGGCATTGATGAAATGTAGGTGGCTGCTGCGCCTGCACTTGTCTCGTCGTCGCCGCGCGAGGTTTGTAGAGCAAAGCTGATGCGACGATTCGAGTTCCGTAACAAGACTGTATGGATGTTTGTTATTCGTTTACGCCAGAACGGCTGAACGGATCTGGGTGAAATTTGGCACAAAGATATATTATAGTCTGAAATAACACATACGCACTTTTTATCCCGGAAAAATGTGCGGTTCCCATGGGAATCTAAATAAGAATGGTAAAGGTGGGAAAATTAATATACTCTTCACTTCGCCGATAATTCCCGAAAATGCACGAAAGTTCACGAATGTATTTACGATGTCGGTCGGAGGTATTTTCTACCAAAAGCGAACTAACTAAAACCAACGAAAACTAAAGTTTGGTCCAAATCTAAAACTTGTTTCATTATTTAAATACTATTAGTCAATACTTTTTAATATTATAATTATACTATTGACTGATTTAAATGTAACTCGCGAATATTTGACATTTTAAATAAAACTATCTTTTCGGATTATTTCGCGGATTTAAATTAAAATTAAATCCACGAAATGATCCGAAAAGATAGTTTTATTTAAACGCTTATATATAAATTTCTAGAAACTATAGAAATGTAGCAATTTGATTTTGATATTGTTTGTTGATAATTTTGTTTTTCCCATTCGTCACGTTATGTCACGTTTTGTGCGCCCATTCCCCCCACTGCCAATATTCCGTCACGAATGATAGACATATATTACATTTATTAAAGCCATTATGACTGACAAATATACGTAGAATAAAAAAAACTCTCTCTCTATCTCTCTCTTTAGTGACAAAAAGGTACTAAATTTTTTTTTTTAAATAATGAAAAAATAACGTTTCCAGGTGCTCAAAGCTAGTCAAAAAAACTCCAATAGCAATAGCAGTAGCAGTAGTAGTAAAAACAAATTAGAGAATGGCGTCAAAGAAAGCAACGGTGTGGGGGAGAAGCGTCGTGCTGAGGAAGCGCCCCCCGACCAGACACCACAGACACCACAAACACCCCCCGACAAGAAGAGGAGGATACTGGAGATGATACACTACGAGGATCTGGACAGCGGCAGTGAGAGCAAGGATATGCAGGAGCTGAAGTTGTCTAAGGTTGGTCTTGTATGGGATATAGTATTATACGAGTTAGAAATAAAGAACTATGCAGGTGATATATATATATATATATTTTGCAGGGTATGAAATTATCAAGATAAATATATCTTTTGATAATTATCAAGATAATTATCAGATAATTATCCGATAATTATCAAACAGATATAAACTTAGCAATCCTTGTGTAGGTTGGTATTTGACTACTTGCCTTTCATAATTTACGTGAGAATAAATTATACACTTCGCAATTATTTAGCAATCAAAGTAATCTTTTTTTTTTCATTATTTTGACATAATATATACAATTTCAATTAATTAATGTTCTCTGCCCACTACACCGTCTCATACCATGACAGTGATAGAACTGTGTCAGGCAAAAAAATATTCTTTGTATTGAAAAATATGAGATTATGCCCCCTAGACCGTTCCCTCACCGACCAAGACGTCGCCGAGCCGGTGCGCGCGGGCGGCGACACGGTGAGCACACGGGTTATAACTGCGTATGATGACCGTTGTAAGCTCGTTATAAACGTGTTGTCCCTTGTGTTCTAGTGATAATATTTTCTATTAAATTATTTTTTTTTAAAACGGCGTGAACCTAGTAACGTCGTGATCCCGTGATGTTATTCTCTTTCTTCCTCGTCTAAAACAATGGCTATCATTGTTAATTCTCTGTCGGACAAGTTTCTAATAGCCATCGTATAGGTATAGGAAATCATTTTCGTAACAAAAATATTCACTCGCTCTTTCTGACGCGGCTGTCTCACGTGAAAACAGGTGAACTACTACGACTGAGAAAACTTGAACTATGTATACGGATATGACACGCGGATGATACGTTCTAGTGGCCGACACGGACTACTATTAGTCCGTGTCGCTTGTTTCCGTGCCTGATACGTTCATAGTACAGTCATGGTATGAGACGGTGTAGTGGGCAGACTCCTTAATGATTGGAATATCCTCCTCAACTGCATTAACTCAGTTTGCTGATTGAGTTTTTGAGCTGATTGAGAGAGTTCAGTTAGCTGATCGACAATTTGAAGAGTTACGAATTAAATATTTTCAATTATATTTATCAAAGATAATTATCAACCCATATTTATCATGATAATTATCACGATAATTATCACGATAATTACCAATGATATTTTTATGTTTCGAACCCTGATATTTTTACTAACGAGTTTGATACTAGGTACGTTTTAAATTGAAATGGATATAGTATGTTATCCTTAAGAGATAGACACGATTGCCACCGCGGACTTTTCTGTGGACCTATATAAGATACGCAATTAGTCCACCATACATTATTTTGTTATATCTCAAGAGGTTTAGGCAGCGTTTTCGTTGAGAGCCCCCTAGACGGCTTATTTTTTTCCGACACCTCCCAAGAAATATCTTTATATTTTAGCCAATTTATGTAATGTAAATTATATACTAAAACCTTCCCCGAGAACCAGTCTACCCATTGGTGAAAACAGCATGAAAATCGGTGAAGTATTTTTTGAGTTTATCGCGACTAGACAGACAAACAGATAGAGAGTCATAAAAAAAATTTGAACTCAGCGCACTTCACTCCGTCTAGAGCAGCTAAATTCATATCGCAGTTTTTCTTACGCCAGTGCCATCTATTTTCAGCATACAGCTGGAAACTCTTTTTAACTTGTGTCCCATATAATATACTCCTTACCGCTAATCTCCATACACAAAGATCAACGAATTCTGATCGAAGAAAGGCCCCATCATAAGAATGCAAACGAACTACTACGTGCAATGAAATGAATGTATCTATCACCTTAATATGTTTATTTAATTCTATCTTATGTATAATATTTACAATGCACATGCAGCTCGCTTCCTTTCTTTCTCAAACTCAACTGTCTACCAGTGGCGAAGGGTCCATACAAGATTTCTTACCTTAAAATGTGTTTTGCTATAATTTGACATACATTTAATTTTTTAAATGTATAAATTTTCTTTTGGAAATAAATATACATATAATAATAGCTTTATTTCTTTTTGCATTAATATGTATATAAAAATTGTATATCAATGTTTTTGTGTTTTTTTTTGTTGGAACGGCTTACGTCTGCTAAAATTTCACCTTTCGCCACTGCTGTCTTACCAATCATACTCAAATCAATCATGGCCGGACACTATCCCTTTCACTCGTTCTTCCTTTCATTCATACTTCACAGATAAGACATTCACTATGTATTTATATTTAATACATGCATTTCACACTCCTTACACTCCTTAACACTTATGGTCGCCTGGCACTTGTGATTACGTCACACGGGATGAACTTAGTAACTATAACTCCTCCTTCTTGGAAATCGGTGAAAGTGTCGTGATGGTAAAAAATAACACTTTTTTCCCTCTAGATATCATTCGCCAAGTGTGCCGAGTGACTTGCGTCTAGGAACTTCGTTCCATAATTTTTATTTACTACTTTTTTGTAATTGTTACAAAAAATAAAAATTGACTTGCTGTGCCAACGATCGCGGGTTCCAGTCCCGCGGGGCGCATTCGTTTGTGATGATCACGAATGTTTGTACTACAGCCATGGGTTTTTATATTTTTACTATCATTGGCCGCGGCTTCGCCCGCGTTCAGATGACCAAAAAACAAATTCTTAGGGTTTACATAGTATTATACTCTTACATTGCAGTTTTTGTATTTTTTCTCAGAAATGAGAATCTTTCCCGCGGTAAAAAGTATCCTATATGTTGACCTGGATAACCAGCTATCACGATACCAAATTTCAGCAAAATCCCTCCAGTGGTGTTTCTATGATGCGGTAACAGACAGACAGACAGAAAGAAAGATAGAAAGACAGACAAATTTAAAATTCTAAAAACTATAGATCCGGTCTCTGTATCGATAATAATGTCTATTTCAATAAGATTTTCCAAAAAATATTTATTGTACAGATTCGGCTTATTTACAATTTTATTATATGTATAGTTTTATTCATAATATGTGTGTATTTAAAGTTATAAATATAAGTTATTAATGTATGCGTAATGTATCAATTATCTGGTATCTATAACGCAAGCCTCGTACCTTATCATGGAGCTAGATCGTGCTACGTGTTGATGTCTCAAAAAAAACCATGTTCCATTAAAAATATGTTACCAATATATGAACATTTTTACAAAATAACTGCAAAATACTTCTATGTTCCTTCGTAAATTTGTTCTCATCTTTTTAGTTTGCTTTTTACGAAGTAGTTTTTTAGTAAATTGTTTTTTTTATTAATCGATGATGGTTTATTATTTAAGCTATTTCAATTATTATGTATTTATTTACATTATATTTGCAGGTAGAAAGATATTTATTGGGGCCAGCGTCGCAAGTGATACAAACAAGTGCGACGACTAGCAATCCGCCGCCATTGTCAGCGCTGGCGTCTATATGTCAAGTGAGTTCATTGGTTTTTTTTGTTAAATGTTTAATTTATTCGATTATCTGTGTACATTATTGATTGTATAATGTATTGTCTGTGGTTTAGTTTCTGTAGTCTGTGGTTGTGTTACGTGTGTAAAAGAGAATTATAAAAGAGTCAATTTAATATAATGATGTTTTCCTAAAATAATAATAAACTAAGATTAACAGTAGTAAATTAGCGTTCACCTCATTCGGTATTTCTCAATGAAAGGGTAGCGTTAACATAATGTGGTCGGAGGCACTGAGTGGGTGAGTGGTACATGCGCAGGCGTGGAGCAGCGGGCAGGCGTGCGCGCGGCCGCTGCGCGTGCGCGCGGGCGCGGCGGTGGGCGCGCTGGGCGAGCTCAGCCCCGGCGGCGCGCTCATGCGCGCGCACCACGCCGCCTGCATGGCGCGTGAGTATACCTGGCGCGTGGCATCCGTTGTACACATTCACTCTCATATACACAATTCAAATACACATTCTTCATCTCTTTTTTTGCCTATTCTAAAATATAAAAATCTCTTACACAGTCATGTTGATCACCCCTATAGCTTCTATAACTGTATACATTCAGCTAACCAAAATTCAGCTCACGTTGCTTTTACTCACCTGTTAATCTTTAACCCCAAGTATGGATGATATTAACTCAATAGCGTACGATGTTGAACAGCTGTCTATATCTAAATCATATTTATGCTCCCCTGAAGATGTTCCCTTATATACAGCTCATGTGAAAAACTCGTTCAAAATATTCCATGCAAACATACGTAGCATAACTTGTAATTTTGATTGTCTACTGGTATTATTGCACAGGATTAAATTTAAAGTGGACATTGTAATCTTGTCTGAATGCTGGTTAAGAAAAACTCCTGTTGTTCCCATATTAAATGGCTTCAGGGTGCATGCTTCTGCACACCTTAACCAAAATGATGAAGTTGTTGTTTACATAAGATCAAATCTGAAATGCACAGTTGAATCGACTGATTTTATCGAAGCTAACAGTATCTTACTAAAATTAAACAACTGTGCAATTATAGCCATATACCGTTCACCTTCGTTTATCAATCTTAAACCGTTTATAGAATCTCTCGATAAAACTCTAAACAAATTAAATACTTATGTGAATGTTACAATTGTGGGAGATATTAACATCAATATATCACTAGATAATGACTCTCATAATAGTGATGACTATCTGAACATGCTCGCATCATATGGTATGCTACCTGCTCATCTACTACCAACTAGACAAAATAACTGCCTAGATCATGTCATCTCTAGGTCTACAAATTGTACTGTTGCTATGGTTTTGGACTCATATATCTCCGATCATGCACCTGTTTTATTCTATTGTAACATAAAAGCACAAACACACTTGGCTAATCCAACATCTGATAAGATCGATATTCAGGGCACAGTTCCTTGTCTAGAGCAATCTGATTTATCTACCATTTTTACATCTACTGATCCCAATGTTATTACTGATATATTAATTGACACAGTCTCTAGCGCTATCAAAGCAAATACTAAAATACAGTGCTTATCTAACAAACTACGAATTATTAAGCCCTGGATAACTCCTGGTCTCTTAAGATGCATTCGCCATAGGGATAACTTATATAGGAAATATAAAAAGCATCCAGACAACTTAAACTTAAAAACTATATTTTTGCGTTACCGTAACTTTTGTAATAACCTACTCAAAAAAGTAAAACGAGAATATGAAATGAACGAGTTCAATAAAGTCAAAAACAGTCCAGGTAAAACTTGGAGTCTAATTGAAAAAATAGTTAATATGGGCCAAAAAGAAAGAAGCTGTTTGGAACTGTTGGATATATGTAATCATCCATTGGAATCAGTAAATTCTGTTAATCAGTATTTTGCAAACGTAAGTAAAAACTTAGCAGACAGTATTACACGTAAACAAGAAACCTCGTATGATATTGACTTTCCTAGACTTAACTATCTAGATACAATGAGCCTATATACAGTGACAGAAAAAGAAGTAAAAACAGCTATCATCAGTCTTAAAGACAATACTGCCATTGGTTGGGATGGTATACCCACATCTATTGTTAAGGCCACTGCGCATATTCTTATCCGATCCTTACCAAATTATTCAATCTTTGCATCTCAAAAGGAACCTTTCCACATTCTTTTAAAAAAAGCAGTTGTACGACCTATTTACAAAAATGGTGACAGGAGCAGTATCTTTAATTATAGGCCAATATCTTTACTTACCGCTTTTTCTAAAATTTTTGAAAAAATTCTCAATAAAAGGCTACTTATGTACCTGAATAAAAAAAAAACATCTTAGCAGAATCAGTTCGGTTTCCGTAGTGGTAAATCAACAGAAGATGCAGTTCTTAATCTTTCAGCTCAGATAACTAAAAATTTTGATAATAAAGTTAAATCGATTGCTGTTTTCCTAGATCTTGCTAAGGCTTTTGATACTGCCTCCATACCTCTTTTGTTGAATAAGCTGGAAGGTGTTGGAGTTAGAGGCCTTGCATTTAAAATTTTCAAAAACTATCTTGAGGAACGTCAGCAGTGTGTATGCATTGATAACTTTAGAAGTAGGGAAGAATCTGTTAGTTTCGGTGTCCCTCAGGGAAGTGTTCTTGGTCCTACTCTTTTTATTATTTACATAAATGAGCTCTGCATGCTCCGCCTACCTAATAGTAAACTTTTAGTCTACGCAGACGACACTGTACTTCTTACTAGCGGTAAAACATGGGCAGAAGCTCAGGCTTCCACAGAATTATCGCTAAGAGCTATTATAAGTTGGCTTGGTTGCAATCTGCTCACTCTTAATGTGGATAAGACAAAATACCTTACCTTAGCTCCCTCTACTCTAGTACAGGCTCGACCTTGTTTGACAATTCGTGCACACGTCTGTTCACTGACTATTAAAGAGTGTAATTGCCCCGTGTTAGAAAAAAGTTCCAGTGTTAAATATCTTGGCATCATAATTGATAGCAATATGGCATGGAGAGAGCAAATCCATTCAGTAGCGTTGCGACTAAGAAAACTCATATTTATTTTCAGGAAATTAAGGAATGTGGTAGATTTTCAATGTCAAAAAACAGTATATTATGCTCTGTGTCAATCCGTTATTTCATACTGCATTACGTGTTGGGGTGGATCTGCTAAAACGTTAATGCTGAGACTGGAAAGGGCCCAGAGAGCAGTTTTAAAAGTTATGTTCAATAAGCGAATCTATTTCCCCACGGCGGATTTATACGCTTTTAGTAATGTCTTATCCGTAAGGAAAATTTTTATTTTACAAACTGTTCTTCGAAAACACTCTGAGTTTCCTTATAACCCTAGTATATTATGTACTAAACGCAGATCCCACGCTATATGTCAAATTAATTCTGCAAGAACCGCGGTTGCAAAACGTCATTACCCATATCTAAGCTGTTTACTCTACAATAAAATCAATAAATTATTGAATATATATCCACTCACATCTTATCGTTGCAAATCTGTATGCTTAGCATGGCTTAAATCCATTACGTATGACGAGACTGAAGAACTTTTGACCATTGTTTATTAAAGAATTTTGCATTCACACACACATATACACACACATACACATACACACACACATTCACACATACATCATCATCATCTTATTGTTTTTTAGTTTTTATAAAATGGCTTAAATATTGTACGGAGGCGGGCGTTGATATCTGCAACGCAGTTTATACTTTTGCAGTATCATCGTAACCATTGTTGTTTACTGTATACTTATAGGAATTTGATACTAAATAAATAAATTTCATTTCATTTCATACGTCATCAGCATATCGTTTATGTAACGTCTATCTATTTTTACATATTTATGATTACAAGTATATACAGATATAACGAGTAGAACTGAGAGCTAGAATTGATAGATAGTGATATTACTGTTGAAGCACCATTTAATTGAGCTATTTTAAGTTAATTTTAAGTAACATAACATAAACCAACGTAATGCTCTTTTTTTTTCTGTCAGGCATCCCGTCATATATTGTCATATGTAGCACAGACGGTTTTTTCTCTCTTAATAAATCGTAAGACTGCGTGCTGTTCAATCATTAAAGTTTTTAATTTTTCATTTATAAATCCCAGTAAAACCCCACTATACGCTCCCAATTACAGTGAATAAAAATGTACGTATTTGAGGAATTTATAAATTTCCAATACGCACACTTTATTATACGTATATACGAAATTAGATGGCGCGTTAGAACCCACGCATACATATACTTGTACGATCCACTTCTGCTTCAGGAGACACTTCGTCTCCTTCTGATGTCACAATAAAACAACCAGTGATTTGGACCGTCATTTAATATGTTTCTCAATTATCCTTTTAGCTAATTCGAAAGAACCAAACGATAGCGTGATTCAACATACCCATAACTCCATCTATCAGCAACAAATGTAAACTACGCAAATGACAACATAGATTGTACATTCCGCCCACCATGGACCGAACGGTTCATAAGAAAATTAATCTAACCTAATAATTTGACTAAGTCTAATCCATCGTGGGTGAAGTGCAAACAATTTAAAAAATATATAACTTATAAACAGTATTTACACAAAGTTAACAAATAATCAATATAAAGAATTTGAACTTCTACAATATAACTCAACTTAAACAAAACCAATCTTCAACAAACTTAAACGAACAAACCATAAAAAAATTATTTAAAATCTTAAACTAACATTACGCATTATCTTAGTTTCTCAACTTACTGATTAGGTAACTGGTAAAATACAAATTTTAGAAATAGGTCTTTTGATGATAATGCCTTTGCATTTTAAACTTACAACACGCGTAACATTATCCTGACCAGTGTGTTTGTCAACAATTACGCCGTAAAGCCATCTGGCTGGTGGAAGATTTTCTTCCTTAACTAAAGCGACATCTCCAATTTTAGGCTCAGGAGAATGACGATTCCAACGATAACGGTGTAGAAACTGAGATAAATACTCACTAGACCACCGTCGCCAAAAATACTGCGTCATTCGTTGTACATACTGCCATCTTCGGAGACTAGTTATAGTTGACTTCTCGTAATTGGCCTCTGGAACTAGTAAGAGAGGTTCTCCTACAAGAAAATGTCCGGGTGTCAATGGGTATGGATCCTGTGTGTCATCACTTAAAGTTGTTAATGGCCTTGAATTAAGGCATGCCTCAATTTGGGAAAGAACTGTACTCATCTCCTCGAACGTCAGAGTTGAGTTCCCGATCGCTCTCTTCAGGTGGTGCTTCGTTGATTTAATTCCTGCCTCCCATAAACCACCAAAGTGTGGAGTATAGGGTGGGATACGATGCCAAGTAGTGCCGTTGCCTGAAAGCCATCTAGCGATTTCAACAGATACACTTGACCTTTCTTCAAGAATTAAATTTTTAATCTCCTTTTCAGCACCTACAAAATTAGAACCATTATCGCTCCATAAATCTGAAACGTGGCCCCGCCTAGCCACCATACGTTTAAATGCGGCTATAAATCCTTCAGAGGTCATATCACTCACAGCTTCAAGATGTATAGCTTTAGTAGCCATACATATAAAGAGGCAAATATAACCTTTAGTAGAGCGATGACCTCTACCCTTTGTGGTTCTTATTGCAATGGGTCCTGCATAATCTACTCCGGTCTGACGAAAAGGTCTGTCAGCTGTCACTCGAGATGCAGGCAACTGGCCCATAATGGGTTGATTAGACGGAGGAGCATAACGAATACATGTGACGCATTTGCGGACATACAACTTGACTAAATTCTTAGCGTCAACAATCCAGTACTTCGTCCTAATAAAACTGAGCATTAGCCGTGGGCCTCCATGAAGAGTCCTTTCGTGTGCATCTGCGATGATGAGTTGTGCTAAATGCGAGTTACGTGGAATCAAAATAGGATGTTTCATGTCGTCACTTAACTCAGCATTCTGCAAACGTCCCCCAACTCGTAACAAACCATTGCTATCTAAAAACGGATTAAGAGACACGAGTTTGCTCTTCTTAGCTACTGATTCAAATTTAATGATACTTTCGATGTCACAAGCAAAGAACTTCTTCTGAAAGTAACTTATACATTTTTCTAACGCCTCTTTCAACTCTAGATTTGTTAGATAAGTAGGAAAAACAGTTTTACGAGAAGAACGTAGCCATTTTAAATAACGCCTCAAATAAGCCACAGTTCTAATGAGTTTTCGAAGTGTTGAGAATCTTGTAAATAATTCTTCATCCAACTCAACACTATCTACAGCATGACAAAGTTTTTTATCTCTTTCTTCCAGTTTGGTATCTTGGCATTCTTCTTGTGGACTGTAATTGATCGTAGCTTCGCTTAGCCAAGATGGACCATGTCTCCACAAGCTTAAATTGTCATAATCTTTAACACCCCTTGACGCACAATCAGCTGGGTTGTCTTTAGATCTTACGTGTGCCCATTGACTTCGATCTAAAATTGTCAAGATCTCCGATGTGCGATTCGCAACAAAGGTTTTCCATTTACTTGGGTGACTACTAAGCCACGCAAGTACCACAGAAGAGTCTGTCCAAGCGTGAATTTTCTCTTTAGGAATCTCTAATGTCTCTGAAACCTCTAAAATCAGTTTGGCAAGAAGCTGAGCACCGCAGAGCTCCAACCGAGGGATGGAGACTTGTTTAATTGGCGACACCTTGGTCTTCGATGTGACTAAATTCACATTTACTGCATTATTCTTATCTATACTGCGAACGTATATCACTGCAGCATAGGCATGATTTGACGCATCACTGAAACCGTGCAGCTCTACTTCCTTATCATCAGCATTTGTGTGAATCCATCGAGGAATGCGGAAATGTTTAAGTTTTGCAAGATCTGACCGGTAAGTAAGCCATTCCTGTAACAAATGAGGTGGTAGTTCGTGGTCCCAATCTATACCCGACATCCAAAGTTTTTGATTAAAAATTTTAGAAGTAATAATAGTTGGGGCTATCCACCCTAAAGGATCAAACAAACGCGAAATATCCGAAATTACTTTCCTCTTTGTTACTGGAATTTCTAACTGCGGTAGTTTAACACTGTATTCAATTTCGTCTGTTGTACTATTCCAGGTAAGTCCTAACACTTTCTGAATAGTTTCGGATTCTTTTCCTTCTCCTATTTTTAACCTTGACTCTTTATCTCCTCTTCCCTTTCCCGCCTTCTCCATAAACTCCTTATTATTGCTTGCCCATTTCTGCAATTCAAATCCTCCCTTACTTAATATGTTACTAATTTCATTTTTTATTTTCAGGCACTCTTCGACAGTTTGGCAGCCCGTCATAAGATCGTCCATATAAAAATCATTTATAATTTTCTTAACAGCAGCGGGATGATTTACACCTTCATCGTAGGCCACTTGCTGCAGGACTCTAACGGCAAGGTAAGGTGCAGACGCAACTCCGAAAGTGACACGTAACATTCTGTAATGTTGTATTGTTCCAGATTCATCGCGCCACAAAATACGCTGAAACTCATCTGCATCCTCCAGCTTCACCTTCACCTGTCGATACATCTTAACGATGTCTGCTACCAAACAAATAGGATATTTGCGCCATCGCATAACAATATGCCTCAAAGTATTTTGAAGAGATGGACCCACTAACAGATCGTTGTTCAGACTCACACCATTAGTTCCAGAGCAGGAAGCATCAAAGACGACCCTAACCTTAGATGTCACCTTATCGTTACGTACTACGGCATGGTGTGGCAAGTACACCACATCTGGTTTATCGCGCTGCCCTTCAGGAACTAACTCCATGTGATTAAGATGTAAGTACTCCTTTATTACTTGTGCATATTGTTCTTTAAATTCTATATTTTTTGATAATCTCTTTTCTAGTTGAAAGAGTCTCCTAGTAGCAATTTCTTTAAAATTACCCTTTTTGCAGATTGGATTGATGTCACGGAAAGGAAGCTTCACAATATATCTTCCGCAATCATCTCTGGTCACGGTATTCTTAAAAATCTCCTCACATTTCTGTTCATCATCAGTAAGCATTTTGTTCTTAAAAGAATCATCCTCTAATTCCCAGAACTTTCTCAAAAGATCATTGTCATTGCACTGGGAGTGCATACTGACAATTATACTATTTTCTTGGCACGACTTCGGACTTTGTTCTTGACATGAATGAATTTGACCAGATAAGATCCATCCCAATTGCGTGTTCTGGGCTACAGGACACCCGGGAGGACCCTTGATAAGACCTTCAACTAAAATCTGACCATACACGTCTGCGCCAAGTAACAAGTCTATTTTATTTGGTACGTCAAACTTCGGGTCAGCTAACTTCAATCTTGTTAGTTCTGGCCACAACTGAACATTTACTTTCTTTGAGGGAAGAAAAGATGTCAGTTTGCTAAGCACATGGGCTTTAACGACCAAAGTGAATTGAGGATTATGAATTGACCTTAGCTTCATTTCAACTACCGACATAGAAGCTAAAGATTCATTTCCTCCTCCGATTCCGGAAATATGGACCTTGTTGGGAATTTTCTTCAGTCCAAGGGCTTGGACAGCAGACTCCGTGATCAACGAAGCCTGAGAGCCTTGATCCAACAAACATCTATAGACTAAACCAATACTACCTGTTCTTGACTCTACTTCAACAAGAGCTGTAGCCAAGAGGACTTGGCTATAACTATTTGAAAAATAGTTATCTAATTTAGTTATAGTCTCACCTTGTGAAGTGGTTGCTGAAGAAACTACTACACCTTTATCCTTAGATTCGGCATTCTCCGTTCCCTGCATTACATTTGGGGGGTGGAGCAAAGAATGATGCTTCCGTCTACACACTCTACATCTAGTGGATAAGCGGCATGAGTAAACGGAATGATTCAAGCCAAAACAGTTAAAACACAAACGACTGGTCTGGATAAAGCTATGTCGTGTTTCATAATCAGCCTTAGCAAAATCTTTACATTTTATTAATTTATGATTAGCCTTACAAAATTGACAGTTTAAATTAGTATTATTAAAACTAGCATTATTTGAACTTTCAAGTTGGGCGACATTAATTCCCTTTCTTACATTAGGAGCCTTAGATATAATATGCTTAGTATCCAAAAATTCTAATGACCTAAATTTATGTTCTAGGAACTCCCTAAAAGCAGACAAAGTGGGCAATCCTTCAGTTTCATTTGACTTTAATTCCCATTGCTTTCTGGACTCAGGATCAAGCCTTTGAATCAATATGTAAATTACAATAATATCCCAATTACTAATGTCAACGCCTATGTTCTGTAGCGCGCTTAAACATTCGTTCATATTATCTAATAACTCCTTAATAGCACTCGATGATTCATATTGCAAAGATTTCTGGCTCATGAAACGTCTTAGAATATTATTAGATAAATATTTTTTATTATCATACCGATTAGTTAACTGAGTCCAGCAAACACTATAATTCTTATCAGTAATGGGAACATGTCTTAACAACTGTTCCGCTTCTCCTGTCAAATGACTCTTGAGATAATGTAGTTTCTGAACATTATCTAATTTAATATTATTATGAATTAATGACGTAAAAAGATCTTTAAAACTTGTCCACTCCGTATACTTTCCCGAAAATTTCGGTATAGAAATCTCAGGTAATTTAACAAAATAATTAGATTTATCTTGTATATTTGATAATTTTGAAGTTTCTGCTACAGATTTAACTTTATTATGTAATTTATTCAAAACATCTTTTAATTCTGTTTTATAATCAAAGTACAGATTTTCAGTTTGATCATAAATTGAATTTGTATGATAACTAGAAGTTTCTAATTCGTTCTTACTAACTTCTGTAATTATTTGCCGATGTATGTCACAAAATGATTGCCACTGATTCTCTAACGCCTCTAAACGCGTTTCAACATATGAGACTGAAATACGATCTTTAGGTGATTTCCTAAAGTTGATTTTACCTTTAGAGATAAGCTCCTTATTATTTTCCTGAAGTTTATTAAATACTTCCATGGCAATCTTTTAATGACACTTGACAATATTATCAAATATTTTTAAAACAGATTAAATTTCAAATTAAAAATAATATAAGTCCACAAACTATTCACTGTTCCGAAATTCACACAATTTTTTCTAAGTCAATGTAAACAATAAAATTCTCTAAGTGTTTGACAATTTGGGACATAGACAAATTTGGGCATAGGTTCCCCGTCAGTTCACTTTTCTTCGATAATCAGTCTATGTCTATACTAACTATAATTTTAATGTTTTATTCTTCTCTTTAACTTAAGGTCCACTTTAGTTTGGCAAAGTATTAAAGAATAAAGTACTCACGGTTTACCGGCACACTTCACTCACTATTATAAACTATCTTCTCATACTCCTGGTCCGGTCGTGTCGTCATGGGTCTTCTCCGTGACGTCATCAGCTGCTACCTCTCGCTCCCTCCAATACTGCGCTGACGTCACTGCCTTCTTCTTGGCTGAAATCCCTGGCTCCAAGCTCCAGGGTTGACACCATCGATGACAAACCGCCACCACGTCGATGCCGACTTACAAAAAACCCTAACTTCTAGGGGCCCGTAATCCAGCTCGAAGGACCAAATGTACGATCCACTTCTGCTTCAGGAGACACTTCGTCTCCTTCTGATGTCACAATAAAACAACCAGTGATTTGGACCGTCATTTAATATGTTTCTCAATTATCCTTTTAGCTAATTCGAAAGAACCAAACGATAGCGTGATTCAACATACCCATAACTCCATCTATCAGCAACAAATGTAAACTACGCAAATGACAACATAGATTGTACAATACTCGCTCCTATATGTATATTTATGTATATTATAAATTAGAGGTAAAAATATGTACATACATATATTTGATAACTAGCCGATATTAGACCTACCCAGCTTTCGAATGCTGGATATGTAAAACTATTTTTTCTTTCTTTAATAAATTGCAAGAAAAAATATCAGTGAGGTAAATAATGAAAAAAAAAATATTTAATGTGGCACTCGGAGACTGCCGCGGTAAAGCTATGGCATAGCATTTTTTATCAACTTATGCAATTATAATTATTTATTTATTTTATTAATGCAGTATTTTTTTCCTTGACTTTCTTCATCTTTCTTCACTTTGTTTATCTTTATATATATAATTCTTCTGTGAGTGTGTATGTCACTGAACTTCTCTCAAACGACTGGACCGATTTTGATGATTTTTTTTGTGTGTGTTCAAGGGGATCTGGGAATGGTTTAGATTCACAATTTGAATAATAATTTTCATCAAAAAAATTATTAAAAAAAGTTTGAAATTTTCAAATTAAAGACGTGTAGACAGGACAACGTCTGTCGGGTCCGCTAGTTAATATTTAAAACACTTTGTACACAAATTATACGAGTACAGGTATTCACTGTTGTACATGGATGATAAATACCTATATACTTTCTTACAAACAGCTGGTTACGGTAGTTTTCCAATACAACCAATGCCATCTAAAGGCGGGTTGTTGAACTAAAGAGACAAGCGTGATATTTCAAAAAGTCATTAAAAGTTCTGGTATTTATCGATAGATGGAAAAACTAAAAAGTATCACCGCTGTGCCGGTCAGAATGGGGGGTGTCAGGTTTTTTCGTTACGGAATTTCTGGATTCGGTCCACACGCTCAAGGCCTGCCATAGAAGCTATGCAATAGCTTAAAAATATTAGTGAGGTAAATAATGAAAAAATAACTCGTAAAAGCCGAAACGTGCCAAAAAAATAAATTCCGCGAAGCGGTCACAATAGACTGAATACCCGGCTACGGGTGATGCTGCTCCCGGCCCCCGCGCGGCCGGACGCAGCCTCACCCGCAGCACACGGCGGCGCAGAGCTGGTGCCGGCGGAGGCGGCGGCGGAGCTGCGGCGCCTGTACCTGTCGGGCGGCGAGCTGCTGCGCGAGCTGTGGCGCTGCTTCCCGCCGCCCGGCGCCGCCCCCGCGCCCGCGCCGCGCCCCGCCGCGCTGCACGACGCGCTGCTGCGCTTCCGCAACGTCAAGCTCAGGCCCTTCGAGGTACCCGCTCGGTGTCGAAACTATACTACCGTAGAGGTTCCACGAGGACTATTGATCGGAACGATTGAATTAATTCCGCAGGAAAAGATGCTCCGCGACCTGACGCCGCTGGCCACGTCTCTCACCCGCCATCTGAACCAGATGATAGACACCGCCTGCGCCAAGTACGCCCTCTGGCTACAACGACAGGCGAAACTGCGGTAACACATACAAACATACACGTTATGATAAATTCAAACGTATATATATATACCTATCACACAAAAACATACAAACATACAGATTATGATGAAAAAAATATTATGTATATATATATATAATATATTCATGTACAATTGATACTACTATATGAAAAATGATAGATGGAGTCAAACAAGCGATACGGTAACACCCACCAAATTCTTGTAAAACATAAAAACACTCGTATATACCTATATAATTGTATGTTTGTACCACATAAATAATGAGTAATTTTCTTCAAACAGACAATATATAAATTCAATACAACATAACATAACATAACAATATGGTGTCATACGCCATATTTTATATACAAAAAGACACAAATAGTTGCTAGTATGTTTTTTTTTTCAAAACAATAAAATATTGAAACAAATAAAGATCATATAAAGGTAAGTCCAAAGTGACTATCCATAGAGAAAACAATTACTATAAATAATTATATACTTAAAAAATAATTTCGATACATTCTCTTTATATACAAATATCGCGCTGTGTGTTCTTAGTTACACAATTTATACGTAACCATGGCAACAATTAAATAAACTAAATTGATTTATAGTGGTTGCTACACACGAAACTAATAAGACCGAATAGTTTTTTTTTTAATTTAAATTGAACATGTGTGCACGTGTTTAAAAATTATTATAATCTACCTGCCATTAACCCCAAGTGTATGTGTTCAATTATTTATAGAAAAGAAGACATTAAAAATTAGAAATCGACACTCGAATTGCAATTATAAATCGAATTTACTCACTCGACACAAACTTTACATTCATCGAATCAGATGAAATATTTAAAGCCTTGAAATAAAATAGTTTATACAATACATATTATTATTTCTGACCGTTTTTTGTTCACATACATACATACATAAAATTCAACTTCACTATACATGCCATTTACAACCATAACGATACAACATAAGGTATATAATCGCAAGATCCTAAATATTATAATGTAAATGTTTATTACAAATCCTATTACAATATGTTGTAATCATATAAAATATAGACTCATATTAATAAAATATAGACTGCCTTTTGTACCAATAAATATATTTATTATAAGGTAATACAACACTAAGCATGATGTTATCAGAGGTCATGAATTCGATTCCCGTGAAAAAATTTGTATAAATCATTCATCATAACAGAAAAAATATGGATATCACGTTTTTGTAATAAAATAAGGATATATGATTATATTTCTGTTCAAACCATAAACGTCTAAACTCTAACTCAATATTGATTAAATCGATATGGTCTTAGGGTGGTTTAAAAATGATATGACCCTAAATTAAATTTATAGGATCAATATTGAAAGAATCTAAGTAAGGTAGGTAATTGGGCCTTATCAATTATTACATATACACACATATAACTAAAGATTTACGACCTATTTGCTACTAGATATGGTAAATTTATTATGATTTTGTTAAAAAAATAAAACAAACGCCCTGTTTAAGCGATAATGGATGAAAAATGATGTGGATTGATGAAGAAAATTTCTACAAAATATTTGTTAACACAACACGAACATTTAATAGCTATTGTAATATATGTATGTATATCAATTAAATCCTAAACAAAGTTGTGGGCTAAATATTACATTATCAAGGAAATTATGCCTTCAATGCCAACTTGACATAAAATATATTAAATAAATATGCATATACGGATATAACTCTGAAAGCGAAATTTTCTTATAAATATTTTTTTTATTTTCTGGATCTTGTTTTAGTGTAGGATAAATACATATTTCAGTTTCAAAAGAAATCGTATACTAATAAAAAGATATCTGACTTTATAATTAGTGAGTTAATTTATAATAGTTTTTTGCTTTTTCTTAAGTAACAATTTCTATTGATGCAGTATTTTTTTTTGGTTTTGTCAGATTCATTTCTATTATATACGATTCAATAAAAAAAAACTTCATTTATAAATGAAAATATGTATGTAAAAAATGTAAATATTTTTTTGTATTGTATATATATATATATATATATATATATATATATATATATATATATACATATACCTTGTTGAAATAACACAAATTATATTGTAAGGTAAATAAATGGCATTTTTACAAAACCAAATAATTGTTCTATTGCATATCGAAACTGTTAAATGATTAGAATGTTGAATGATTATGAAATGTAGTGGCAGGGCCGGATTTAAGTGTAATTAAGCACCTAATAATATTGCAAGAAATTAAATACGTTTTTTTGGCTCGCTTATTTTTTTTGTTTGCCGAATTTGCTCAACTACAAAAAATAGGCAATTTCCTATTAAAAAAAAACTAATTTAGAATATTTCAAATTTAATATTTTCGAGGCTCCTGAGTCCGTAAACAAAGATACTGTCGCATTTTTCTAGATTAAAGGAAGAATTCTTTTCTAACAGGGAATATGCGTGTGTTTTTTTATAATCTTTATTGCTTTTGAATTAAGCTTATATTAATATTTTGTATGTCATTTCATTTTGATTAAGAGAATAATTATTAAAAAGTGCAAATATAGATGGGGAATTCAAAGTAGTTAAAGCGCAACGCCATTGGTCAAACCGAACGTGACGTCAGAGTATATCATAAGTTTTCTGTGTTTAATATACTTTGACGTCACGCAAAGCGCGAGAAATGGCGGGCGTTTGAAGTATTGGTATCGGTATGTTATTAAAAAATATATATAGTATAAAAATATATATACTAAATTTAAGTTTTATCTATTGTGTAAAAAATTAAAAGAATCACGCATATTGCCTATTATATACATATCTTGAAAATATTTAGTTTGTTTTTAACCGACTTTTTGCAGGTGCATTGTCAGTTTTCACTTGTTAATTTTAATATTTTCTTTTTCCATTAAGAATTGCTAAGTGAAGTCGGAGTACTTTTTTAGTTAAAATTAATTATCGTCTTACAGACAGACGTCTTTCATCTCTATTGTTGAATAAAATCTACTTCAACTTGTATTAAATAAAAAAAAAATCTTATTTCTTAATGTTTTTTAAAAACATTTGAAGCAGATTTCCAATTTTATATGTAAAATTAATTTTATTTTTACGCTTTTTCTAAGCTTTTACCTGTCGTTCCTGTATTTAATGAAAATAATTTATATCGACAATAACATTTAGGCGTTAAGTGGGAGTCAAAATTTCTCGTTACCATATTGGTTTAGCATTATTAATTATTTAAGATACGTTTTTTTAAGGTTCAATAATAATTGTTAAAAAAAACTTTCTTCTGTTATAATTTTCATAAACAATAATTAGGTAATGATTTAATATGAATATGCAGCAACCAACTATGATATTGTAAAGTTTTTGCACTCCATTTTTTTTTAATTCCTACATATTGAAAGAAACGTTCTAAAAAAGCAGATTGATTATTTGGTCTTTATTTATTTAATTTAACATCGGACTATTCTTATAACGCGGTTGGTTGTTACGTATCGAATTATTTATTTTAACACATTCTCACAATTCTGTTTGGAGAGAAGGCTCAACTCTCGAATAGGAATAAATTGTAAATAAACAGTATTTTTATTTCATCTTGTTTTTATTTTACCCTTTATAAGTGTTAGTGCACATCACATAATCAATAGTGTTTTACACTAGCGATTCCCAATTTTTTTTGGCCACGGAAGCCTAATCTATACATATAATAAAATTGTAACTAAGTCGAATCTGTACATTAGATATTTTTTGGAAAATCTAATTGAAATAGACATTATTATCGATACAGAGTCCGAATCTATAGTTTTTAGAGTTTCTGTCTGTCTGTTACCGCAACACGAGAAAACCACTGGACAGATTTTGATAAAATTTGGTATGTTGATACCTGGTTATCCGGGTCAACATATAGAATACTTTTTACCGCGGGAAAATATCTCATTGCTGAGAAAAAATACAAAAGCTGCATTGTAAGAGTATACTAATATGTAAAAAATAAGAATTGGTTTTTGGTCATCTGAATGCGGGCGCAGCCGCGGGCAATGCTAGTTGATTATATTTTTCTAACGGAACCATTTTCATAATAACTAAACTGCTTGTGTTGTAGTTAGGATACTTTCTTGTTTGACTTGAAAGAACAAATGATAAATAAAAAATATTAATATTTAAAATAATACTAGCAGTACCCGCGGCTTCGCCCACGTCCAATCTTCCGATCGCTAACAAAATTCACAGGATCACCCGCTGGGCTAATCTGAAGATTGCCTGAAAATTTCATCAAAATCGCTTTAGCTGTTTTATAGTCCATAGGAAACATACATCACACACACACATCGATTTTTATTTCATTTAATCAACAATTAAAATTTATTTATTGCTCGGAAAATGGAGTCTTTTATGAATATCTACTGAAACACCGACTGCAGCGCCGTCTACCGGATCCATTTGTGTTTTCAAACCTTACAGGGACCCACTCGAACATACACAAAAAATATCATTAAAATCGTCCCTGTCGTTTAGGAGATGATCAGTGATACACTGAATGCTACGCCACCTACTGGGTCCATTTGTATTTTCAAACCATCCAGGAACCCATTGTAATATACAAACAAAATTTCAACTAAATCAGTCCAGCCGTTTAGGAGTTAGGTAACTAACACACGTACAGAAGAATTACATATGTATAGAATTTGCCAAATACCGAATGTGATGATTGAAATTTTTTTCATATATTTTTTTATAATAGAACTAAAATTAGGCTTCATGTCTGATATCTGACTTTGTATTTAACTCTGGGACGGAAGTTGGTACCCCTGTGACTTCCACGAAACCCTAGGGTTCCGCGGACCACTACTTGTGAAACGCTTTGTTCACCATCCCATAGAAAGAAATTCGACCGCACTAATTTAGGCGATTTTATTTTGCCTAAATAGATAGATGTAAGCGGTTTCCGTGATGTAAATATTTGTAACCGAGATGAAGAACTCATGAAATTTTCATGTAATATCTAATTTAAACGTTCACAAAATTATTGATTATCTGGATTAAGAACATTTTTTGTAAAATTATAGTAATTTGGTTTAAGAATCCATTTTATTTTTCTTTACCTTAACAGATCCAAATATATCGAATATAATAATAGGTATAGTTCAAATTAAATATATCCGTAAGTAATTGACTAAGAATGAAGAATGTCGTGTAAGGTGAGTCAACGAAAATAAAAAAAAAAAAGATATATTTTTCATCTGTTTATTAAAAATTGATAAATACTTCGAGGGTTACATTTGTCTTAACTAAAAGGACACCTGTACTATTGGCATTGCATTTTTATTGAAAACAAAAAAGTTTAAAAAAATAAATAAGTAGGTACTTACTGAATATTTTAAATAAATTAAGTGAAAGGTTTGATATTGGTAACAACGTTAAAGCCAAAATATACTTTATTCCTTCGTTTTTAGATATCAAAATACATGTTGTTGGGACATTAACACACAACACCATCTAGTTCCATGGTAAGCTACGAGGCTTGTGTTATGGATACCAGATAGTTGATACACTACACATATATAACTTTAAATACATACTTATTGTAAATACAAACACCCACGACTGGAGTACAAACATGCGTGCTCATCACACAAATGAACGCCGCGGCGGGACTCGAACCCGCGACCGCAGGTACAGCAAGTAGTCACTACAAAGTGCAAACTGAGCCAAATGTGTCGTCAAATAGCACCGCATACATCCAATTTTGTTACCAATATCATTACCTACCTTTAGATTTTATATTTCAGAAATATGCAAAAAATACTATATTTCATGATAATAAAGGTTTTTTAAATATCTTGTATTATTAAAGCTATTTTACGTAAAAATATATTTTACATAAAAATGTCTGACAATATTTTTGCCAATAAATTATTTATTTTTCTATAAAGTTTAGGCCTATTTTATAATTTAGCCAACAATAGTAAATTATTTAAATTAAAAAGTCTAAAATATAAGCAATATACATTTGCTCAATTTTTAACATATTTGAGATTAAGGCAGTTACTGTGTTTATTAAAACAATAAAACATAATTAACAATTTAATAGAAAACGTTTAGACAACTTTTGTGTTTCAAAATTTTATTTTTCAAATGAACTCAAAAATAACATTTATTTATTATATTTGAGCAAATAAAATTATTAAAGCCTTTAAAGGAATTAATTATTTTTGCATTCTGAAAATGCATATTTTTATTAATTATACTTTTTAAAATATTTTTTTATATTTTCGTAGATACAAATTTATTTATAAAACATTTACTTTGGTAAAATAATAATAAATAATATTCAAAAGTTGCATTTTTAATCCACTATATTAATATACATATATTAATTATTAGATATAATAAATATATATAAATAGAAGGTAAAATAATATCTAAAAATAAAATTATTATTAGATATTATTTTATCTTCTTTTATTTTCCTGACAAATAATCTGTAAAATAAACGCTTTTAATAAACCATGTACTTTTTCCGAATAAAAAATTACAATTAATTAACATTAAAGTTTCTATGACAAATGAGAAATCTTATTTAAGATGTTCACTTACATATAAACCTTTTACAGAAATTCATTTTTAAGAGCAAAAATGACCTAACTCACATTTTTCAAAGATTTTTTAAAGATAATAACGAATTCTTTGAAACATTTTGTAATGGTTACACTGCATTTTATGTATAAAGTAGTGATGAAACGATAACGATTAATCGTAATCGATGATTACCGACATTTCATGATTAATCATAATCGTAGATTATCTAGTGATTATTAATGACTTATATTTTCAAAGAAATTTATTCCTAATGTTATATATATCGTTTGTTGAAGCGTGTGTTCAGTATTGGAGAGAAGCAACACAATATGTCCTTCTAAAAGAAACAGCAAAAAAATATCTTTCAATCAAACCATTGTCTGTACATCGGAAAGATTATTTTTCACTGCAGGATCGATTCAAACTGTAAAAAGGAACAGATTGACGCCCGACAATCCATGTCGATGACGACTTACATGAATTTACTCCACATCTAAACAAACCTATCTATAGAAGTTTAAGTTTTCACTGCAAATGTCATTGCGAACGATAGTATAAATACGAATAGTAGCATATACAGTAAATCAAGCTACTATTTTTGACTTTGACATTTCTTTTAGCGGGCTCCGTCTATAAACTATATAATTTTTTAGTCAGAGTATTAAGTAAACAAATATTTGTTTCATTTTTTTTAAAGAAAGCGTAAAGTTTTATCACAATTAACATTCATTTACATAGAGTTACGTATCTACAAGGCAAGATAAATTTAAGAACAAAGTAGAATTGTACCTTATGCAGTTATAAATACAGCACAGGTTACATTTTTTTTATTTTGTAAACGATATTTCGACCAAAATGGCATGAAATTAAATCCATGTAAATGATCTTAAAAAGAACAGAATGTATGTAGAAAATTAAGAGTTTTTTTTTAATCACAAACATGAATATAATAAATAAATCCACGTTTATTTTTATGTAAACATAAGCAATGGGCTTCTTAAATGAAATGAAAAAAAATCATTTATGAACAATGGTGGATTTTAAATAGGTAGTGATGTATCAAGCAGTAGTGGAATTATCAACTTGACTGGGTTTAAGTGTGGAGTGGCAAAATTATGGCGAGATTATTTTACAGTATGGACTACAGAAAAACCGCAATAATTCGGCACATGATGAGCTTTGATCGCCTCAGAAATATATCCAAAAACTATTTCTGTGTAATGTCAAACCAAATTGTTGGATTGTAAAAATGATCTACAAACTGACAGTTATAGTATAAATATTATATACTTGAAAAATGTGTAAATCCATTGATATTAAGTAGTATTATATAATGATGAACATATCTAGTGTTTACCTAAAAAAATTGACGATCAACGCAATAAGGATGACAAGTAAATAAATATGTCGGGATATTAACACACAGCACAATCTAGTTCCATGGTAAGCTACGAGGCTTGTGTTATGGATACCAGATAGTTGATACACTACACATATATAACTTTAAATACATACATATTATAAATATAGCTAGAATTAAATCAGTGTGAAGACGATTATTTTCATCACCAAAATCAATTTAAACGTTACATTAAAACCAGGTAGTTCGTGTGTTAAGTAGTAGTATTATATAATATAATAAAGTTTATCTAAACGCTTTAACGATCCACACGATAAGGATGATGAGAAGAACGATACCAATGAGTGAGAAGAAGAACATTTTCTTCCTGTATCTACGTTGGTATTCAGCGGCTTTGGCCAGTTCGTCTACTCCGGCCTCTACGCCTGCTCCTGCTGCCTCTATGTGGCTTTCCACTGTATCTGTATAAAGAATATATTATATTGATTTTCTGTTATATTTGTAAGTTTACACTTTCATATAGCTTTTATTTACTTATTTACAGGACACAGAGTTGTTAAAACATTATATATCTTATCTAAAAACTTAACACAAAAATCAAAATATAGAAAAATAACTAAAATAACTAGCTCTATTAAATGTTCTTAATCTCTGTTAATTCTGTCCCATTTCAATTTTATAAATCTTTGAGATCATACAATTATTCTAAACAATAAAAGCATCTTCTAAATTCTCAAAATTTTCAGGCTAATTTTTCCAATTTTTGTCATGTAAAAACCTTATTTGAACCATTGTAAACATGCATATTAATATTAAGTCAGTCTATTCAGACAGTAGTGATGCGCTTACCAACGAAGTACGAACAGGCTTCTATTTTTTATATAAAGACTTGGCAAACTGACTACAAAAAGAAGAAGGTACTCAATCCTGGTGTTTTTGTATATGTAACGTGATATGTACAGCAATTCTGAACCAATTTTCAGATTCCATTTTTTTTATTTGGAGTGTGATATCAAACGAATTTCAAGGATAACTACTACTGGTGGAACAAAAATAATAAATTGCACATGAAAAATGCCTTAAAGATATTTATTTTTCATATATTTTATTATTAACTTTCATAATAATAACACTAATAACATGATAACCATTTAATTATTTAAATAAAAATATCTTTTTAGATTTATTTCAATTTTTGGTTTAGAATGCTTCACAGCAATCATGGTTAAGGAAGGAAAAATCCGAAAAGATATTTTTATTTAAAGTAATTTAAATAATTTAAACGTTTAGCTCAGAGATGAGATATTTTCCCGCAGTAAAATGTATCCTATATGTTGACCCGGATAACCAGCTATCATCATACCAAATTTCATCAAAATTGGCCTCTGTATCGATAATAATGTCTATTTTAATAAGGTCAATAAGATTTTCCAAAAAATATTAAATGTATAGATTCGGCTTAGTTACAATTTTATTATATGAATAGATGTGTTGTTTTAATTATTTCTTAACAATAAAATATTCTTACCAACAGTCTGTGCTTGAGCGCTGACCATTTCAGCTAAGTCTTGCATTATTTGGTTCACATCCAATACATCTGCTTCTATTTTGTTCATATACGCCTCCTTCTCTAAAAGCATGCTTGTCTCGAACTGGACGAGACGAGCCTTTGCAGGAGAAATAATTTTTATTAATCTTCTATTAAAACTGTCTGATGCATCAATGCACAGGCCAAACCCTTAAGGCTAGAAAACTGAAATTTCGCACACGAATTCCTCATATGACGAAGGCATCCACTAAGAAAGGATTTTTCAAAATTCAGCCCATAAGAGGGTGAAACAAGAGATAAATGTTTGTATGAAACTTTTTATTCTTTGGACATATTCGCTTGAAATTTCGTATGAATTGAGTACGTCAAAAATAATGAGTAACGAATTTCAGCGTTTTCTAAAATTCAACCCCTAAGAGGATAAAACAGGGGATAGTAATATAAAGCCAGAGTTTTTTTGTAGATTGAATGCACACATGCCTATATAGATACAAGTTTTTGCATTTTTAATAGTAGTCTGACTAGTTGTTCTTTGCATGACCAATCATCAGTATTTGGAGCAGGTACAGTGAGACAGTTACTTTCACATCTATAATAATGTGTATACTAACTGAAGTCCAGTTAAATAAAGTGAGAACTTAGTAAGATTTCGAAAGACATGTGTAGTCCACAAACCCTCACTTGGCCAGCGTGGACTATGGCCTGACCCCCTTAGTAATAAAGGGAGGCCTACATTCTGCAGTTTAATGTTAATATATACATACATGCAACACCTAAATTTCATTTAGCTCCTATGATCCGAGGGTAATTAATACTCAGAAATTTAGAAAATACATGAAATATACCTGAGCCTGTTGGTTAGACAGAAGAGAAGCCTCCTCATCATCAGCCATGGCCTGCCTCTCCAGTGCTTCTGGGTCATTCCTAGACCGACCCTGTGTCGGCATGTGAGCTGCCATTTTTTCAGATACTTGCTGGAATAAATTTTATTGTGACTTTAAGAATTAAAATATAGATAATCTCACTATATCTTAACAGTTTAAATATGAAGTGAATTAATTTTTTTCTAAAATTTATAATTTCCAAATATCTGACTGAATTTGACAACCCTATTCTTCACAAATTTTTACTGAGTCAACCCTACAGATTGTGTCTACAATCTATTTACATTTTCCATAATTAAATTAAAGACAAATTAATATGTAATAATATAATGAGGTTAAATTAATTACATTAATTAACCTCATTTCTACACTCTTGACAACATTATTTAGATAACTGGAGTAAGAAAATGGATTAACATACTTTAGGTTATTTTTTCAAGTAAAAAAAAAACTAAAATATTTGGAGTATGGGAGAAATTAAAACCAACTCGAATAGAGATATTTACATCAGTTTAATAATGAGTAAAATTTAATATATAATTTTACATGATGAATGTCAACTTAACTTTTTCTTCTTTTTAAATGGGTGAAACGAAACAACATATAAAAACTATATTAGTGTTTCGCCACATCACCCCTCCACGGAGTAAAAAAGAATTAACTAAAAATCTGAATTTAACACATCTACAACACTGTGTGGTATATTGTAACAAATATGAGGAAAAATAAGCCAGAATTGTGTATATGTGCTAGTTACTGCACAAATTAATTTAACATACATAAATAACTTATTACCTTCTGTACAGAAGTATATGTGGCTAAGGCATCTCTAAATGCTTGTGTCAGTCTCTCAACTTGTAGTTTCTGAGGTTTGTCTCCCCTGCGTACGACTACACCAAGCCTTTGAATATCGCGTGCTGTTGCAGATACTGAGCTATTAACATTTTGTTGGGTGTCATGGCTGAAAAGATAATGTTTAAATATATATTTGTTAGAGACAAATAGATAGACTTTAATCATTAGTATATGTATTATTTACACATTGTAAATTCATATAATATTCTATTTTATATGGATTTTTTTCATGCTACATGTTTTTCTACTTGTACTAAAAACTTTTAAATAATAGTTACTTACATTTTATCTCTTAACTGCACACTGTCATTGGGTCCACCAATCTGCTTCATCATCTTTTCCAGGGCTCGTAAGCCATTGTTGATAGTGTTAACATTGTCTGCAATTCCTTCACTTAAGTTATATAGCTCAGTAGGACTGAAGTCAGCGAAGGCTACTTGAGGAGGTGCAGCAGTTGTTCCATAGTCACGGCTTGAACCACTAATAGGCTCCCGTTCCGACATTTTTATTCTAAAGTGTAGTAAAACCAATATTAGCTTAAACAGTTGCGAACTTTTCTGTCAATTTGCTAAGCAGAGTCTTGAGAATGCTTTAAAGCAATTGTTTCCCAATTAGTTTACTAAAAAACTTACAGCGAGTATTTGTTGTAATATAATGAAGCGCTTACATATATATTTTTGATGTATGCGATATTCCCTTATACTAAAGCTGTAACTACAGTGCGCCTAAATAATCATCAATTAAAAAGGCGTAAATAGTTTTGTTATGATTATGATGAATCACTTACAATTCCATCTTGTTAAAAATACGTAACAAAGAATCACTAGAAATATAGTTGCACAATTTTTTTAACTAACCTTTACGTAACCTATATGAAGAGAACCAGTATATAGAATAATATTAATATGAAAAATAAGACCCCATTAATTTCCAGTTTTGTGATGAAATTGTGGCTGTATTAATGTAAAATATTTGACAAATGACAGAAAACGTCAACACAAATACAATGTAATATTTGACAAATGACAAATCAAAATTTTAACCAACTTTAGGGAATTATTGTCAATGAAGTTTGATACAATAAGACAATTTAATGACAACATCAAATCATAGCTAGCTTCAGGGAATGGGGAAGAATTTTACCTTTTTCTCCCGCCAGATGTCACGATCACTATTATCCTAAGTATTTTGTAAAGCTCTATAGTGTGGATGGGATATTATCATTTTCTTTAAAATTTAATGAAAATGACAAATTGTGTAGTGCAAAGATGTGCTTCCAAAAGACAAAAACTTAAGAAATTGTGGGCTAAAGCAATAAGACGACCAAAATTGGCGAAATCATCATTTTTATATTTAAGGCTATGTGGACATCATTTTACAGAAAGTGATTTTAAAACTCTTAAAACGTCTACAGGAATATTTTTTTTTTAACTTTTTTTACATATTAATTACAAAGTTTCATACAAACTTTTATCCCCTATTTTACCCCCTTTATGGCATAAAATTTCGTAAAATGTTCAAACACGTATTTATTTAATTGTATTAAAGATTATTAATACCAAGTTTCAAGTAATGCTGATCATAAATAATTCTTTGCCCATATAAACTTTATAACCCCTTTTTGCCCCATTTATAGGATGAATTTCGAAAAAAAAACAAATAAATATATTTCCTATTTTTTATCTTAAAGCTAAACACCACTTTCTGTGTATTTCACATTAAGAATGACAGAGTTTCATACAATCTTTTATATCCTATTTTACCCACTAAGGGGATGAATTTCGAAAAATCCTTTCTTATCAGTTGCCTACATCATATAAGATTTTCCTACCTATTCCTATTTCTATTTATTCCTTTTATTCTATTTATTTTATTTATTATATTCCTACAAATTTCACGTTTCTACGATCAGCGGTTTAGGCTGTATGTTGATTCATCAGTCATTCAGGACCGCCAAAGGATGCATCTCTCCTTATCAATTCTTCCTTCACCTGGTCTAACTTCCAGATACAATATATTGCACAGGTAAGATGCGAACACGATAGAAGCAAAAACCAGGTAAAAAAGAGGTATTACAATAAATTGCTTAACCCCAGACTAAATGTAAATAGGTCATACGTGTAGCGCCCTCCTGGCAAGTAATGTTCCCCATCAACTTTTGACATAACTCCCATTATAAAAAAAAATATTTGTCATCTATGATTAGAATTTAGATTTCATTTATTAATCACCCAGCGGCTGTTTCTTGAATGAAGAACAGCAGTTTAAAATTTTAAATTTCTAAGTAATTAAATTTAAAGTAAGCTTTCTTATTACTTTGTCACGAAATCACTATGATGGTTCTGAGGATACTTTGTAATTTTGTTACGTTTTTCACAAACTAAACTGTAACTGTAACTTTATTACTTTGAATTATTATATAATATACTATTGGAATTTGGAAGAGTGGTTATCATACCATATTATGTATTGCTATTATTATATTATATTTATATGATTGGATTGGATGGAAATAAAATACTGTTTTACAAAAATACTTTTTTAATTAATTCTACTAGCAGCACACCTTACACCTTTTGCACTTGTATATGCCATAATGCTTTCATCCCCACCAATCAAAAAACAACCAATCACCATCACTTCCGCTACACATTCCGTTTTAAGCTAATTTAATTCCTACATTTATTTAAACTATTTTACTTTTTAACTGTAACAATAAGGATCGTATGAATATTTGTAGTACCTATAGGATCTCATCAGGAAAGAAAAAAAGGTTATTTGAGTGGTTTCTAGAAACTGTCTAAAATTATTTAGTATTGAGCCACGAAAAATATTTATTTTTAATACCTACTTATTAGAGATTCACCCTCGCTCCGCTTGGGTTTGTCCCCAGTTTATAGTATAGATTTCTCAGAGATGAGATATTTTCCCGCAGTAAAAAGTATCCTAAATGTTGACCTATCCAGTACATCAAAATGTTGTGTTTCCAGACAGACAGACAAAAATTCTATCGGCCTTTGTATCGATAATAAATGACTATTTCAATAAGATTTTCAATAAAAAAAAATTTTATGTACAGGTTTGACTCAGAATTTTATTATGTGTTTATTAGATATCTGAAAAATCAGCAGCAGTGTATTCATAGATGGCGCTATTGTTGTTTGTGTTTTATAATTATTGTAAAATATTTTATAAATTCTTATTATAAAAAAATACTTAGTTCAGCATTTTCAACGTGTTATCTGTCTTCCACTCGGGCAAAACGAAGTAGGTAGCTGATAGCTCTGAAATTATTATTCAATTTCGACCAATTTCTTTTTTTGATATGCAGGTACCAATACCTACTAATAATAATATAGGTAACAATATTGTTTTCGTGATATTTTTGTTTTAAGATGCGCTCCATATGTTGGCCAAAACAGTAAATGTTTCGACTTTGTTAACTGTATATCATGCTTATGCCGCTTCATTGTTAAGATACTGCAAGCTTTTAAAGCACAAACCATATTTTAAAAATTATAACATTATGACATTCCCAAGTATGTACATCTATGAGACTATTAATTATATTAAGAATAATTTATATTTATTTGAAAATTGTAGTAAAAATTAATGTATTTAAACATAAATTGAAGATATTTCTATTAGAAAAGACGTATTATTCAGTTAAAGACTATATGTCGGATAAGTTTGTAATATATGTTAACGTTTGTAATTTTAGGTATATTTTAATTATTGAAATATTGCATGCTGTAAGGCTATTTGGCTGAACATTAAATATGTTATTATCAAAATCTAAATGTATGTACTAACCCAAGTTCGCTGGGTGTCCTAAAAGTCCCTAAATATAAATAGAGATAAAAAACATTTTTCATAAATTATATAGGTAACTAGCATTTCATTATATTATATAGGTAACTAGCATTGCCCGCGGCTCCGCCCGCGTTCAGATGACTAAAAACCAAATTCTTAGGTTTTACATATTAGTATACTCTTACATTGCAGTTTTTGATTTTTTTCTCAGAAATGAGACATTTTCCCGTGGTAAAACTATCCTATATATACCCGGATAACCAACTATTACCATACCAAATTTCATCAAAATCCCTCCAGTGGCTTTTCTGTGATGCGGTAACAGACAGATAAAAATTCTAAAAACTATAGATTCGTCCTCTGTATCTATCGATAATAATGTTTATTTCAATGAGATTTTCCAAAAAAATATTTAATGTACAGATTCGGCTTAGTTACAATTTTATTATATGTATAGTTAAGGGATATTCGTTTTTAACGAAAGAAGCAACATTTAAATGCTTTGATTGTTTGAAAGAAATATTGTTTGTAAGTACATACATAGTTCAATAAATGTCAGTTATAACTTATAAGCTATAAGGTGCATTATCGATAAAATAAATCGTTTTGTTAGAATACATTTTTATTTTATCGATGCAAGGATAATATGTTATCAAAGGCGTGCACTATTGACACGCAGAACCATAGAGCGTGCAAGGATCATCAATTGTTCGTTTCCAAGAATCTGTTTCAATTATGTTTAACATAAAAGGAAGCTACTTTTTCAATAAATTGTTATTATAATATATTTTTATAAGTATTGAGCATTATTATGATATACCTCAATCGTACAAGCTAAAAAACTTTACCTACTTTAATCTGCGCATGTAAGAATGTTTCTCACAAGCACGCGTTGTCAGGACACATAAAGCACTCGACACCTGTTGCGATTAAAAAAAATAAAACTTGAAATTAAAATAGCGCCTGTCAGAGCGGAACCTTGCAGGCTCGCGTGTAGAATAATAAAATCGTTAATCCTATCATGGATAGGACCTCCCGCGATTTTATTTTTACTCTAAGTGTACTTTGTATTGACAATAATTGTTATTATTACGTATAAAGTTAGAAAGTATCTATACCCTAATATACTAAGTCGATTTCATTAGGTAAATATGTTTTTATGGTAGTCATAAGTAAAGATTAATTAAGTAATAATAATAATAAAATATGTTGGAATATTTTATTATTATTATATATTATTATATATTAAGGCAGTGATAGCAAAGGCAGTGGTAGCCCAGTGGTAACGCGCTTGCTTGGGAAACCGAGTGAAGCAGGTTGAAATCCCGGGTCTCGCACCTCTGATATTTTCATGTGCGAATTATTTCTAACATGATTACCACTTGCCTTACGGTGAAGGATAACATCGTGAGGAAACCTGCATGTCTGAGAGAACCTAGTAAGTTTTCGAAAGACATGTGAAGTCCGTCAATCCGCACTTAGCCAGCGTGGTGGACTATGGCCTGATCCCTCTCGTATTGAAGGGAGGCCCGAGCCCAGCAGTGGGACGTTAAAAAGGGCTGAATACATACAATACATACATGTTGGAATATTAACACAGCACCATCTAGTTCCATGGTAATAATGACCTGTGTTATGGATACCAGATAGTTGATACACTACACATATGTATGTAACTTTAAATATATAC